TTAACCCACTCAGAACATCTAAAATTTGTAAGTCCTACAAACTTTTTACTTTATTAAATGTTTAGATTTATTTTCATTTAAGTATTGCCCTCCTTGTATTTTTTTTCCTGTTCCTGTTTATCATTGTCTAACTTCTGTTTTGTGCTATTATGTTGTTGTGTTATTATTAGGTTGTTTACTCTGTAAACAGAACGTTTAAATAACGGAAGAAAAAAAACAGAACCGGAAGACAATACAATGCTGAATAAAGTCGCAGTTTTTGTTATTTTTGGACCAAAATGTTTTTTTCGATGCTTCAAAACACTGTATGTCACATGGACTACTTTGATGACGTCTTTATTTCCTTTCTGAACAAGAAAGCTCTCGGACTAAATCTAAAATATCTTAAACTGTGTCCTGATGATGAACGAGGTCTGACGGGCTTGGGACGACATGAGGGAGAGTCATTTTGACATAACTTTTATTTTTGGGTGAACTAACCCTTTAATTGGGATAGGATGACTGATGCTGATGTGCTGCTGACACACAGTGGCCACTCTCGGTACCACTCAAGACCTGTTTCCAATAATCGGTTACACTTTATTCTACAATGTCTTTGTTACACTGAAATTATACATTTAAGTGATATTAAGCAACTACATGTACTTACTACAGGGGTAGGATTAGGGTTTGGTTTGTTTTAAGATTGCATGTAGGCTAATTATGCATAATTTCCAGTTATTAGGCTACTATAAGATATGCAAGAAACACACTTTAAAATAAAAGTGTTACCACATAATCTCAAGAAACGATCACATGGACCTCGAGTGAATCGTGAGAAACTGAACAGTTCCTTGATCGCTTCGGTAGAATTTCTCATTTTTGTTTACATATCTTTGTTGTAACTGAGATAAGACACAAAGCACGGTGTAACATTACACACAGACATCTGAAAAAAACAAACAAACAAGGAAATGTTTACGGCTTATGAAAACCCCAAAGATTGTGAATAAGCTGTAATCCATATTCATCAAAATTATAACAAGGCTTGAAATATCTCACTTTGCATGAGTCTATATAATATATTAGTTTCACCTTTTAAGTTGAATTACTGAACTTACGATATTCTATTTTTTAAAGTTTATGTATATATATAAACACGTCAAGACATGTTATAGCAAAGGAAGTAATTTAACCCTTGTGCTGCATTAGATTTTTAACACCGTTGAGTGCATTAATGACCAAAAATGGCCACATATTAAACATTGCCTAAAATATTATATATTATTATTATTTTCCACTTTTACCAAGTTAAATCTTTTAACCAGCATCAGTTCATCATAACTACCAAAAATGTATTCAATTTCAGGATTTTAACCCTTTAATTATTTTGTTGTTGTTGGCGAAACCATCGCATGAATCAAACCGAAAGAAAACAATGCAGTGAGAAGCGCTTTCTCTAGCTATATGCGCACAGCCGCACTCACACACACACACACACACACACACACACGCCAGCCCATTCTCACCCCCAAGGCGTCACTTAACTGACGCCTTGGGAAGCATTTGGACATGCTTCAATATCTGACGCTTTAAGCCTAGTTCACACTACATGATTTTAAAATGTCGGGCTGAACTGTGCAGTTTACACTACATGACTTGCTCTCAGTGAAATCATGAGTGTTCAAGTTGTTTAGCTGTTCACACCACACAACACAGCGTGATTGATCCACAACAGGAGGTAACTCACTACACGAGTTAACAACGCACTACATAGAGATACAATCACGATCGGATGATAAGAGCATATCATTTGTGACTCAATGAGAGCTGTTTCAGTACTATAGTACGGTCTAAATCCTGAAAATAATCAAACAAATAACGAGTTGACAACAACACGATTCTATCTGGTCTAGAAACCATGTTTTGTCACGAAAAACCACGCAATAAAACGAACCAGAAATGACGCGAAACTACAGAGAAGAACACAACACGCGAATATGGACGTCAGACAGAAACTAGTGCTGCACACTGTTTGCTCGACGATATGCTCTGAGAAAAAAAAATGCAAAAAAGAAAAAGTAAGATTTACCTGGTGTCCTCAACCCATGCGTTGCTATGATTGGCTGTACTCATGACATCACTGAGATTGAGTCGCGCGACTGCTCGAGATATCTAGCATGCTAGATATTTTTCTGAGCTCGGTGACCTGTCTGCGAGCTGTCTGCGAGCTGTCTTTGATGCGTTGTTGGCTCTTTCACACTATCGGATTGGCGAGCATTAATCGTCCGCTAATCGCCCGCGATTTGCACGCGATAACACCCTGACTTGTCGGCGACTCAACGATTTGCAAATCGGGCTTAAATCGGGCTTAAAATCACGTAGTGTGAACTAGGCTTTAGGTGCCCTTTAGCGTCAGTCAGATGACGCCCTAGGATCGCGTGTACCCTACCCCCACCCCACACCTAAACCTAACCGCTTCCTCTAATTGACGCTTTCCTTTAGCATCAGTTAGATGACGCCGTAGGATCGCGTCATGTAAGTGACGCTAAAGGGCGCCTAAAACGTCAAATATTGAAGCATGGTCAAAGGTGACGCCTTGGGGTGAGAATGCGATGCAGCCACACACACACACACACACACTTTCGCCAACACAGACACACATTGCTCTCAGATATCCACACATACTCAGAAACATAATTTTAGATCATTGAGCCATTAAAATGCTTCATAACGCACACCATACTGCCCCTAGTGGAAACCAGGAAAATAAGGTGCATTTCCACCCATAGGGAATAAATATGAAGTGACGTCATCTGGTGGAATACACTATATAATTCAAATATAATGCTTTTGCTTCAAAATGAAAGGATGTTTGAGCAAAAATCATGTTTCATGCATTATTTTTCATACCATTTGATACCATATTGATATTTACATAAATGATATTTCATACCAATTTCATACCATTTGCATTAAAACAGCATGTATTAATGACAGCCTCAGATTTAAACAACGTTTTAATGGGTTTCAATGGGCCATTTTTGGTCTTTATGGTGCTGATCTACACAGTGTGTGTTATACATATTTTGCAAAATGGGATCACATTTTTTTACATGTATCCAAAAAGTCACAATTTTGCCAAATTTCATACCATTCGCATTAAAACAGCCAAAATGGTCAAAGAAATTAAACTGCAAAAGACCAAAAATGTCCCTAATGCAGCACAAGGGTTAAATGAGATCATTTTTGTCTGAGAATGTGAAACGCTGCAAGTCTCTGAGGAAAACATGAGAAAACGTGCCGCTCTTCTTCGTCAGGATGTAGGCTAATGACTTTAAAGCCCTCTGAGCGTGCAAAGACACCTTATCATTACATGCTCTGAACACAAGTGGTCCTCAAACAAAACTGTGGATTTCCAAAGAAGCGGCACATGGTTTGTTTGGCTTGTTTTGGGAGATAGTGTTGATAAAAAGGCTGTTATTTGACAGTGCTCAAACATTTCCTTGAACGCGTGCACTGTAATCATGAGGCATTCATTCAGGTCGTTGTTTAGGATATAAGAACAGGTTTTACACCACACAACACACACTAAAACATCTGCATTCAGAGTTTCGTGCATGGGAACACACACTCAAAGTGCTTATTCTCTGTCGTTACTCTTGCAATAACAAAATGCTTATGTCGATATACTTCAAATGGCACAAAAAAACAGTATGGAAGCACTTTTTGTAGAGAAAAGGTTAAAAAAAGACCCTTATTCATCGTCTGGTGTCGTTTAAAGCTGCACTGAAACTCTCAACTGTTTGGACCCCATTGAAGTCCATTATATGGAGAAAATCCTGGAATGTTTTCATCAAAAACCTTCATTTCTTTTCGACTGAAGAAAGAAAGACGTGGACATATTGGATGACATGGGGAAGAGTAAATTATCAGCAAAAGTTTTTTTTTTTAAAGTGAACTACTCCTTTGAATGATACAAAAATTAAAAATACAAATTATAAAATGTCAGTATAGATAATAGTACATATTTTACTTTTTTTCCGCATTCCTATATCAAACGTGTAAGATGGAAAGATAGTATATTTGATTTGTGTTACATATTTCCTTTTATTTAAACCTTCTGTGAAGTTCAAAGCCTGTGTTAAAAGTGGAAGTTAAAAGTGTTTTAAAAAAGAGAGGATGTCTGCTACCCGATGGGCTTCTGCTGTCGTTACTGGTTTACTGGTTAATTGGACGACTTGTAAACCACTTGCGTGACTAGAACTGCTTTCATTCACCAGCTATTATTTTAACAAGCATTTACTGTGGAGGAATGAGATTTTAAAATATATGAGCTTTCAGCGGTTTCTTCACACACACGTCTAACACTCACATCAGTCTGAACTGTCAAAACAAGACAAAACAATTCAAAACAATCTATCCATAATAAATGACTGAACGAAAACTGTTTGCAATGTGATCAATAAAATTATACCTGCACTATATGCTTAATGAAAGAAAATGTAATATTTTTAGTATGCATCGTATTATTAGTTTCATGACAATTGAGCACAACATCAACCATGTAAAACATAATGCATTGCCTTTAATGTATGCTAACTTCATTTATTTACAGTCAAATACATAAAACATTTACTGTGCTAATGAGAAATATCGGGAGAAAAACTAATGAAAAATTCTTTCACAAAAAATATTATGTTTTTATTGCTACAAGTGTTTTTTTAAATGAAACTTTAGCACTGCACTGTCTCCTCCCTTGTTACCGCACAACATCAATTATCTCTTAATTATATATAATCTGATATTTTCATTATGACTGACATGCCCACATCAATTAAAACGTATCTCTGCTTGATTCTTTACATTTCTGCGGAATCAACGTCTCTTTTTTCTCTCTCTCCCTCTCTCTTTCTCACGCACACACGCTTGCACCAACACACACACCCACATATACACCCCCCAACACACACACACACACACACGTAAAGTGAGTTCCAGGGAATCAAACCAATGGACACTGGTGTTTAAGGGGGCCTGTTTTCCCCTCAGGTTAAAAGATAAAGACATGGTTTGATAGGCAGGTTAAGGGATGAACGTGTTCGGAGGAGGAGGAGGAGGAGGAGATGAAGTATATATATATATACACACATCGACCTGTGCTGAAGACAGAGCGAGAGGAAAAAACTCCAGGACAACAGAAGGTATGAGCTAAATATCGCACAGACACACACATCTGGCGTGTTCACATTTTTGAACATACATAGTAAATTATACAATTCTTCATTTGCATTACTTAATCTTTAAAAATTAATATTAACAACAACAATTATCTCTGTTTTTTGCAACTAGGACACTTCGGCAGTCATGGCAGGTTGGTGAATGCTCTTCATATGCATTTCTGTATTAATTATAACTTGTAACTTTAGGATTAATGTTTTCAGCAGTCGTTCACTTCAGTTATCAAAAAACAGACAAGAACTAGTTATGCTGTTTGATATTGCAAACTGCCATTTGCTATCTTATTATTTATTTGTTCTCATAATTATCCACACATTGGTTAAAAAAAAAGCTTCCAAAAGTTTTTTTTTTTCATAGTGATGTCAAATATATATATATATATATATATATATATATATATATATATATATATATATTCAATTCAATTTATATAACCTATAATTTATATAAGAATTTATATAAGAATATTTATTATTTATATGTTAATTTATATAAGAATATTTATATAACCTAAAGCTAAAGAACCTGTAAATCTTCCATGGATGTTTAAGGTTCTTCATGGAAGCATCGATCGATGCCAGTAAAGAACTTTTGATTTTAAGATGAACAAATTATGGAGTTTACTGTCGTCTGATCCTTGACAGATCCTGATAGTTATTTACAGTATCGCAGTGATTCAGTAAATGAAGTCTCGCATTTCCACATCGCTTCCTTTTGGGTTTAAAAATAAGATTTTAATTTTGAAAAAGAAATGTAATTTTACAAAACTGCAAATTCTGCAACTTTCCTTTCTGTATGTCCATCCATCTATCTGACTGTCCGCCTATCTATATCTGAATGTCTATCTATCTGACTGTCTGTCTATCTGTCTATCTATCTATACAGTCAGCAAGACAGATAGATCGACAAACAGTCAGATAGACAGAGTTAGATAGACAGTCAGACAGAGAGTCAGTCAGATAGATAGATAGACTGACAGTAAGTCAGATTCACTCTTAGAAGAAAAGGTTCTATATAGAACCTTAAAAGGTTCTATCAGTGCTACGTATTTGGAACCCCTAAAAGGTTCTATACACTCTTAAAAAAGGGTTCCTCTGGGTTCTATATAACCCTGGGGTTCCATACTTGGCCAATAGAACCTTTTACCAAAAAAAAAGGTTCTATATAGAACCATTTTGGAGTTCCATACATGAAGCGGGGGATGGAACCATTTCTGGTTCTAAATAGAACCATTTCTTCTAAGAGTGTAGATAGACAGACAGAAAGTCTGATAAACAGTCAGATAGACAGATAGATGGACAGACAATCTATCTGTCTATCTATCTGACTGTCTGTCTTTCCATCCATCCATCAATGTCTGGTGTGTATCTGGTTCTCCGCAGACGTCAGCTTTAAGCAGGAGTTTCTGGAGACTCATAACCAGTACCGCGCGCAGCATCAGGCCCCGCCGCTGGTGTTCAATGAGGATCTGTGTAAGACAGCTCAACTGTGGGCCGAACACATGCTGAGCGAAAACACACTGGAACACAGTGACACGAAAGACGGGGAGAACGTCTACTACGCCTTCAGCTCCGACAAAAAAACACCCACAGGTCAAATCATCAATAATAATGAGTGAGAAGGGGGACTCAGCAAACTCAGATAGTAAAAATCATCAGAGCACCTCACACTAATAAAATATTGAATGTTCTGTATATTAGGGAAGGAGGCTGTAGACTCGTGGTACAGTGAGATCAAAGATTACAACTTTGAACAACCAGGACATCAACCCAACACAGGTGGATGCATGGTTTGACTGAAACGCATAACATTAAGGAAATATTATAAATAGTATTTATTGGCTTATTCATTTCTAATCGTGTCTATATATCGCAGGACATTTCACCCAGGTTGTGTGGAAATCCTCGACTGAGCTCGGAGTCGGTCTGGCCACTGATGGAAACACAGTTTTTGTCGTTGGTCAATACAAGCCTGCTGGAAACATAACCAACGCTGGGAACTATGAGAAAAATGTTCTGCCTAAAACCGGCTAATGAATGTTCATTTACATTCATGATTTAGCAAATGCTCGTATTCAAAGTGATTTAATCATCATTACCGGTTTAAATATGAAAGAATGGCCAATAAGATCAAATATGAGTGTGTGTGTGTTATTTGAATAAAGTATGGATCATCTCATATTAAATGTGCATTTATTTCTGACTATTGTGACACATATGTACCCCACCTATGGGGCATGTTGTCACATTTTACTTTCATTCTTTCGGGGGAAAATTAATAAAAAAGTATAAACTGTATTAATAAAACAAAACTACATAATTGTACTAGACATTAATGTGGGGGGGAATACAGTAGATGTAGGGCTACACAAACTGAGAAAGTCAAAAAGCGTTCCGTTGTTCCCGCTCTCACCACTAGAGGGAGCCAGAGAACTAAGAGTGCGCGTGCACGATGATGAATACAGAAAAACAAACATTTCCTAGCAATTTTACAGTCTCAATTTGCCAGTTCAGTCGCTGGTTTGTGGGTTTAATAGCAGATAGGGTTTTGCATGACTGATAAAAACATGAATTTTGACAGAACTAACAAAGATAGAGAACGCTTGGTGTTCAACACACTGACGATAAGCTATAATACAGCTGTGTAAGTTGTTTTGGAGCAAGATAGTTTGGATATATTTATATTTCTCACTCAAAACTTATTAGAATGTATATATTTCGTGCCACAGACAGACAGCAGTAGGCCAATTGAACCACAGAAACGGGCAGCAGCATGTGTCCAAATTTCAATCTTAACACTCCTAAACAGGGCTTTAACATTAATGTGGATTTACGTGTTTTAGAAGCAGAAAGGGCTTGAATGAAGCACTTTTAATTAGATAAAAATATTATAGAATTGATATAGCTCTTAAAAAGATCAACAACAGCGAGTGTGCACCTCGCTGTTGTTTTAACTCACTTTAATCTGTAAAATGGCGCAATTACATCCCGCTATTTGAATAATAGTTAGTCTACCGATTATCTGAGAATGTTAGAAGTTCTAAGAATGCTTTTTTAAACGCTTGCTTCTGTTTTATGTGATTTGAAATTCCAACAATACCTGTTCTGCAGTTTCTGTTTTTCATGGTGATGAAACGTTCAAAGCCGTGTCACGTGACAGACTCGGACATGGCTTGATTTGCATACAATTCTTGCGGAAACAGATGCTTTCAAATGCCAGTAGTTCACAGGAATTACTCATAGACAGTAATTAGGGCCTACTCTATTTTTGTCCATCCAGTAAATCACTTAGATGCGTCGATGTGACGTCATCGGTTGTTCTCTAATTACTGGCTTTGTTGTCATTTTTAACTGCAGTGTAGACGCTGAATGCATAGCTACTTCGTGAGCTTGATTTGAATATGTACCGCAGAAACCATGAGAAGAATTATACAATTAGATTATTGCCTTAGAGCAGTGTGCAGATCAGCTCGCACACAGGCAGGCACACACATTAAAAAAAACCTCAAGGACATTTAAAGATAAAATGGGGGGAAGCATGCAAATCTGGTGCTGGAAAAAGCTGATGGTGCAACTGTAGCTAATATGTTTTTTGCATTTTCCTTCACACACTATATCTACCTGCCTTCCTTTGCTAATTCAATAATTCATGTGCCAATTTAATGTATTAAATATTAACATTAAAACACTTGATCGTAATGTTGAATTTAATTTGAGAACCGAATGCATCTCAAAGAAGAGCACAGCCTAAAGTAAGAATATTATTGCTTAAAAACTCATTATTATGTGTGTGTGTGTGTGTGTAATATGTGCACACTAATAAAAGAAGGCATCATAAGAGCTTCACTTGTGCAGTTCTGCTTGCTCTACATCACACTGGTTTAGTGTAGACAGTTTGTGTCCTTGGACGGACATCTCCACCGGCAAGATGCGCAGCGCTTGAGATGGACACGCGTTACAGAAGTACGGGAACACCGTCTCACTGAAGCTGTGCTCGAAGGAGTGGAGATGAGCGTCGCTGAGGGGGTCGAAGAACGACAGTTTTCCTCCGTCCCAGTCCAGCTGGACTCTGATGATCTGGACCTTGTGTTTCACAGGGAACGGCGTCAGAAACTCCCCTGACAGGCCTAGTCCGTACGTCCCGTTGTGGAAGCCGATGCGCCACAGGCCAGAACTGGGCGGATTGTCTCGTGTCTCGATGGCAGACTCGGAAATCACCCCTAAAGCCCAGGTGGTGTTGTCCCCGACCTCCACGTCCCAGTAGTGAGTCCCCGAGCGGAAGCCTTCAGAGCCCAGGACACTCGTACAGCCCTCGCCTTTCTCCGTGAATCCCAGAGCCGGTCGACTCCACTGACCGAAGCTCACGCCGCTCAGATCGCCGGAGAGCTGGAGGCACGGATGAGCGGTGTTGGGGTCGAGGACCACAGGCACTATGGAGGAAAACAGATGTTCGTTTATTGACATCATTTATGAGATGACGACTAGTAAGTCAAACCCAAGCTACAGGATCTAAAAAAATCTGATCGTGATTAAACCATAACATCGCAAAATCAGTGAACAATTTACAAAGTTAAGACTCATAAGCATTAGATCGCTCACACTGTAAATAAAATGATCACAAATAGTAGAGTTTTGATGTTCTCTGACAAACTGACTCTACTCATACTCTACTTTACTCATACTCTACTCATACTTTACTTACTCTACTCATACTCTACTTTACTCATACTCTATTCATACTTCACTTACTCTACTCATACTCTACTTTACCCATACTCTACCTACTCTACTTTACTCATACTCTACTCATACTTTACTCATACTTTAGTAAGTAAAGTATGAGTAGAATATAAGTAGAGTATAAGTAGAGTAGGTGAGTAGAGTAAGTAAAGTATGAGTACTCAAAGTACTCTACTCACCTACTCTACTTATACTCTATACTTATATTCTACTCATACTTTACTTACTCTACTCATACTCTACTTTACTCATACTCTATTCATACTTCACTTACTCTACTCATACTCTACTTTACTCATACTCTACTCATACTTTACTTACTCTACTCATACTCTACTTTACCCATACTCTACCTACTCTACTTTACTCATACTCTACTCATACTTTACTCATACTTTAGTAAGTAAAGTATGAGTAGAATATAAGTAGAGTATAAGTAGAGTAGGTGAGTAGAGTAAGTAAAGTATGAGTACTCAAAGTACTCTACTCACCTACTCTACTTATACTCTATACTTATATTCTACTCATACTTTACTTACTCTACTCATATTCTACTTTACTCATACTCTACCTACTCTACTTATACTCTACTCATATTCTACTTACTCTATTCATACTTTACTTACTCTACTCATACTCTACTCATACTCGATTCATGCTCTACTTACTCTACTCATACTCTACTCACTCTACTCATACTCTACTTATTCTACTCATACTCTACTCATATTCTACTTACTCTACTCATACTCTACTTTACTCACTCTACTTAATCTACTCATACTCTACTCATATTCTACTTACTCTACTCATACTCTACTTATTCTACTCATACTCTACTTACTCTACTTATACTCTACTCATATTCTACTTACTCTACTTATACTCTATTCATACTTTACTTACTCTACTCATACTCTACTCATACTCGATTCATGCTCTACTTACTCTACTCATATTCTACTTACTCTACTTATACTCTACTCATACTCTACTTACTCTACTCATACTCTACTCATATTCTACTTACTCTACTCATACTCTACTTTACTCACTCTACTTAATCTACTCATACTCTACTCATATTCTACTTACTCTACTCATACTCTACTTATTCTACTCATACTCTACTCACTCTACTCATACTCTACTTTACTCATACTCATTCTCTCACAATCTACTTACTCTCATACTCTACTCATACTCTGAAACCCAGCTTAAGCCAAACTCAAATTATTATATCAGTTTTAATGAGTCTAATACAGCTGCCCATCATATAGTGTCGGCCCGGATCCGGCCCACATCTGGTCCATACACATGGACTCAACACGTGCCAGATGTGGGCCGGTGTTCTGACAATTCATGCTACCCATCGAGATTTCCTACTTACCGGTTCTGCGCATGTGCAGACTCACAGTTTTTACAAAAGGTACATTTTCCTGTTATAATGTATAATTTCCCTTTAAAAAAATGCTTACTACCATATGAATATTTGTACGGTCAGCCAGCTGAAAAGGAATAACTGAAAGTTTCAGTTACTATAAGAAAAGGTGTACTTTGACAGGTCAAAGATGAATATTTTATGATAATTTTTACTTTTCACACCGTTTTAAAAAATAAAAACAGTAGTCTACAGTATACAGTAGCTACTCATAACTTAGAATTGTATTAGAATTGTATTTCATACGACTTTAATCGGCATTCTGTGATCAATTCGCGCTACGGTAGCATTTTTCGACAAGGCAGCAAAAATCGACAGAACACCGGACACTGTATGTTTCTGTCTGGCTACTGTCATAAACACCGTCTGATTGGTTATGGCGGCCGTGTTGTGACTATAGAGATATTTTTAATGTTACTCAGAAAACAGGACACAGGTTTAACTCGTCTGAAGTGTTACACACTCCGATATAAGAAGAAAAGAAAAAATCCCTACTATCTCGTGCTTTGTCTACCGTGTGTTTAGTCCCCCAGGGCACTATGTTGAATTCCTAAAAGTGTTGGTGGATTTGCATATTATGTGTTTGTCTTGCTGAAGGCTGCTTTTAGTTCATGCATTCTAGTTACTGTAATGCATTGTCCTTCAACCTCAATCTACAAGATACAACTAGTCCAATTGCCACTGCTAGAGTTCTTACCAGGTCAAGAAAATCGGATCATCTCCACACTGTTACCTATTAAGTTCCGTATCAGTTATAAAGCATTGCCACTGACCTTTAAGGCCCTAAAACTCTGGACCATGTTCAGGGCTCACACTCACTCTCCCAGTTTCATTTAAAGATGCATCTCTTTAGCCAAGCATTCATAAAGCATACGTGTGTTTGTTTACATTACAGCACCACTTGTGAGAGTGTGTGCGCGTGTATGCAAATAGTAGGAACTTATATGCAAATTAGTCTTGACATTAATTATGCGTGAGTGTGTGTGATCTGACATAAAAGGCAAATAGTATGAACTTGTTTTATGTGAGTGTGGCGTGAGCTGCTGTCGCCTCAGGCTGATGTCACTGTCAATCACTTTGGATAAACATCTTATAAATGATTGCGTTGATTTACAAAAATATAAATATGAACACGACACTTCACAACGACAATAATAATATTATGCAAATACCAAATTGCATGCAGGGTCAAAATAAAAACAAATGAAAAAAAACAACAATATTGACCCACACTTAAACATAAGGATGACAATAATTATAAGCATATAATGACCGTGACTCGTGATTGAGCTTATAAAACTTAAAGTTTTGTATTTATTTTTTAAATGGCCGATCGTTTCGCTTGATTAGACCCTTGTTCATCGTCTGGTGTCGTTTAAAACTGCACTGAAACTCTCGTTTGGACCTTGAACCGTTTGGTCCCCATTGAAGTCCATTATATGGAGAAAATCCTGGAATGTTTTCATCAAAAACCTTCATTTCTTTTCGACTGAAGAAAGAAAGACGTGGACATCTTGGATGACATGGGGGCGAGTAAATTATCAGCAAAAGTTTTTTTTTAAAGTGAACTACTCCTTTAATGATATGTTAGTCCTGAGACTCACTGTATTGAGCGGCCGTCCTCATTTTCTGCCATACTCCACTTTTCAGATTCCCCAGATGCTTCGCCACGTCGATCTGCACTTCTGGAAGCTTCTCTGGACACGGACTGGAGTGCGGAGGACTGGGAAAACACCAGGACTGGATCAGTACTGGTCCTCACCATCACCACACACACTTTTTAAACACGGATATTTCACTCACCTGTCAGGAAAGCCTTTGTACTTCTTTAAACGGATTTGCATGGAAACGACAAACAGATAATATAATTAAATACAAATCTCATGATTAAAAGCAATAAAGGTTCATAATTATTATAACGGCTCAGTTTACAAAGATCAGCTTCTGGTTTAAAGAATTGATTTACTTTTAATTCATTAATTTTGATTAATCAGCTCGTAAACATATTTTATCAGTTAAAAATATGTAGTTATTTTAACTCTACAATCCTAACTTTTTAGTGTACAGTAAATATTCCCATTTCAAATGAATACTGTTCTTTAACTTTCTATTCATCAAAGAATCCTGAAAAAATGAAAAAAAAAATATCATATTTTTTCTCAGAAATATGAAACTGTTTTCAACACTGATAATAATCAGAAATGATTTCTGAAGGATCATGTGACACTGAAAATACAGCTTTGATCACTGGAGTAAATTACACTTTAAAATATATTAAAATAAAAAATTGTCACAATATTACAATTTTTTACTGTATTTTTGATCAAATCATTTAAATATTTAAAAACTATTTAAAAAAATTCAAATTATGCAGACATGTTTTTTTTTCAGGCTACAGAGAAATTATGAACATGCAAAAAACAAGAGAGAACCAATGAAATATTAATAACGAAATATTCTTTATGCTTTTATTTATCTTTTCACAAACAACAACCTGTAACTGTGATTTGTCCATTTTTACCAAATCAAATTTTGTTAGATAAATACCTTAAGTTTTGTTCCAAAAACTATTTTTATTTCATATTTTGATGGTTTAATCAAACTTGTATTGTCACTAAAAACAAACTCATTATTTGAACGAGTCATTCTGGTCGAGAGTATGAGGTTTACCAGCAGGAAGGAGATGTTGCTGGCCTCGATCTCTTCCTCCGCGATCCTCACTCGTTCCTCCAGAGATGAGAGTTGAGTGTTGATCCTCTTCATCTGATCCTCCAACACCTTCCTCTTCTGCTCCTCTTCCTCTCTCAGAGCAGTGATCCGAGACGCTTCTTCATCACGCAGAAACTGCTGGAGATGCTCAAACTCCTGCTTTATCAGCGCCTCGGTTTGCTCGGCTTGGCTCTGTAACGCAGGGAACAGTTGTGTAAGGTTGTGTAGTGTTATACCATGAAGGATTTTTGACTTGATTTTACCTTGATGCGTTTTGCTGTTCGATCGCAGGTGAACTTCTCTGATTTTAAGTGTTTGAGCTTCTCTTGCAAAGGCCCCAGTCGTGTTTTCAGCAGCTCCTGAAAAGTTGAAATTGGAGTGATATTATATAATGTTTTACAGTTTTTCTCAATTGCTTTGGCTCAGTTCTCAAATGTTTTTTTTATTTCCCAAAACATTAAGCTCATATCTCTGAATAATTCGCTTCTTTTTCACATCAGATTGTAATTTCTTATTGATTTGAGCAAATTGCAATTGCTTTGGCACATGTGTGCAAAGAGTACATACAACTGTCTGCAGTTTGGACAACAAATAATTGTATATGGCTTGTTGATCAAAACTGATGATTTGATTCTCACTTACACTGTCAAACACTTCAGAACTTCTCAGACATTTTTTATTGTGTAAGCCATCACATTCAAAACGATCTATTCAATTAGCATAATTAGTATACATGAATGTATATTCTAAAATATATCTGACATTGACATTGTTTGTAATGTTTGCTAAAATGGCACATGACTTCTAATTGCATTCGCAATCTAATTGCAAATTACCTCTAATATGAATCAACCATTTAACCATTTAACCAATCAATATTGGGAGTATATATATATATATATATATATATAGAGAGAGAGAGAGAGAGAGAGAGAGAGAGAGAGAGTATATATATATAGAGAGAATATATAGAATGGAGGACATTCGCAACCCTGAACTGCACCAACATACTCATGGAAGAGCAATTGGAAGGCATGTAAGAATACGTGGTGGTGGTAGAGGAAGAAATAATCGAGGAAGAGGTGGAAATAGAAGAGTCAGAGTCTCTGATGAAATCAGAGCCACACTTGTGGATCATGTCATAAATCTGACCATTGCAGGGGATGGGTGCGGCATTTAGTTTTTTTCCACGGTGTGTGGCAATGGTAACATCAGATGTGATGTTGATGAAAATCTTTGGCCTGACCAACGTGAGCGACAAGATGTCCACCAAGAATAATTTTTTTTTTTTTTTTTTTCATGAATGTTATTTGTTGTTTGTGTATTTGTGGTAATACACAAATATGAAATGTAAAGTGAAATTGTGTTACTCTTGTCAGTTACTTTACATGTACAGTAAATAAACTTATATTGTGTACACATGAAGTACAAAAATAAACACTGTAAAAATACAAATGTTCATAGAATATTTTTTTTTCTACATACTATTGACTTTTCTCAACAAATATGAGATTTGTTTACAGTAAACCCTTAATTTTCATGCTTGACTGTTGTGGTGAAAAAACAACTAAACATTTTGACCAGTGTGGCTCACACAATGACAAAAATACTTTAGATTTTGGGGGCCTTGGCCAAATTTTTGACAAAATAACTAGGTTTTGAAGCATGAATTAATTGTTTTGGGTGAGTAACTACATTTTGCAGACATGCTATAAAGTTTTGAAGTTCCTGCAAACAGTTGTGACATTTGCACTCACAGTTAAACTTTAGAGAATGTTAAGACTGTTTCGAAAAATGTGCCAAAGCAATTGAGAAAAACTGTAAAAGATCTGTGTGTTTTATCTGTGGATGCAGGATCTCCCTGTACATTCATCTGTAGAGAACATTAGGCGTTTAGTCAAAGTCTCTCAAATTTAGCTTCTTAATCTAATCTTTATCTTTAATCTATAACTTTATCTATTTGATTGACATCGGTTTTCTTTTTTTCTGATTTTTCTGACATCTGATTGACATCTGTTTCGACCGACCAACAGATAGATAGATAGATAGATAGATAGATAGATAGATAGATAGATAGATAGATAGATAGATAGATAGATAGATAGATAGATAGATAGATAGATAGATAGACAGGTAGACAGGTAGATAGATAGATAGACAGGTAGACAGATAGACACACAGACAGACAGACAGACAGACAGACAGACAGACAGACAGACAGACAGACAGACAGACAGACAGACAGACAGACAGACAGATAGATAGATAGATAGATAGATAGATAGATAGATAGATAGATAGATAGATAGATAGATAGATAGATAGAGAGACAGACAGACAGACAGATAGACAGATAGATAGATAGATAGATAGATAGATAGATAGATAGATAGATAGATAGATAGATAGATAGATAGAGAGACAGACAGACAGATAGACAGATAGATAGATAGATAGATAGATAGATAGATAGATAGATAGATAGATAGATAGATAGACACACAGACAGACAGACAGACAGACAGACAGACAGACAGACAGACAGACAGACAGACGGATAGACGGATAGACGGACGGACGGACGGATAGATAGGTAGATAGGTAGATAGATAGAGAGACAGACAAACAGACAGACAGACAGACAGATAGGTAGATAGATAGATAGACAGACAGGTAGACAGGTAGACAGGTAGACACACAGACAGACGGATAGACGGACGGACGGACGGATAGATAGGTAGATAGACAGACAGACAGACAGACAGACGGACAGACAGATAGATAGATAGATAGACAGACAGACAGGTAGACAGACAGACAGACAGACAGAAAGACGGATAGACGGACGGACGGACAGACGGATAGATAGGTAGATGGGTAGATAGATAGAGAGACAGACAAACAGACAGACAGACAGACAGACAGACAGACAGATAGATAGATAGATAGATAGATAGATAGATAGATAGATAGATAGATAGACAGACAGACAGGTAGACAGACAGACAGACAGACAGAAAGACGGATAGACGGACGGACGGACAGACGGATAGATAGGTAGATGGGTAGATAGATAGAGAGACAGACAAACAGACAGACAGACAGACAGACAGACAGACAGATAGATAGATAGATAGATAGATAGATAGATAGACAGAAAGATAGACAGGTATCTACACAGGTAGATAGATGAAGATGAAGATGATGATGATGATGATGAGATGTACCTTGAGAGCCTCTGCTGCTTCATCCACAGGTCTGCACGTGTGACGGAGGTGTGTGTCAGCGCTCACACACACACTGCACAGCAGCCGCCGGTCGTCCACACAGAAGAGCTGGAGCTTCTCCCCGTGAGCGCTGCACACCACCTCCTCCGCGCGGCTCCTGTCCCTCAGGAAGATCTCGCACAGGTCCTTCAGCGCGCGGTTACACGGAGGACGACCCATGCAGAAGTCCGCCCGACACACAGGGCATCTCTGACACACACTCTGCTCCCAGTACTGCTCCACACAGGCCCAGCAGAAGCTGTGGGAACACAGCAGGAGAACCGGATCTCTGAACACGTCCCGGCACACCGGGCACAGGAGGTTCTCCTCGAAGTGAGACGCTCCGGACGGCATTTCTCTCTGTGTGTGTGTGTGTGTAGGCCTAGTGAGGATTCACTTTTGAGTCAGTGGAGTTTGGTGGAGAGATTCAAATACAGATGAGCTGTGATGTCACACACACACAAAACGAGTTTTGCCAGTGTAAAAGGTTTCCTAAGAATGAAACTGTGAGTGTGTGCATGATTGCGTGGTTGTTTTTGTCGTTCTTTGGAAAGATTGCATATCGAAGATTCCACCGAGCTTCATTCTGTTTCCTTTTTCTGAGTTATCAGTTATTCTGTGGAACTCGAGCATCAGAACCAGCATCAGAACTCTTCACCAGTTTCAGTCTGAGCCGCTGTTACTGTAAGAGAGGACACATCGTGGAGCGAGTCTCGGGATTCATGTGTCGACTTGTTTGAAGAGATCGTGGACAACTGGAGACGAGAAAAGAAATATCCATATAACACTCTTAGAAGAAATGGTTCTATTTAGAACCAGAAATGGTTCCATCCCCCGCTTCATATATGGAACTGCAAAATAGAACCATTTTTTGTTGGTAAAAGGTTCTATTGGCCAAGTATGGAACCCCAGGGTTCTTTATAGAACCCAGAGGAACCCTTTTTTTAAGAGTGTATAGAACCTTTTAGGGGTTCCAAATATGTAGCACTGATGGAACCTTTTAAGGTTCTATATAGAACCTTTTCTTCTAAGAGTGAATCATGGGTTTATATTACAGCACCACTGTTTGTGTCTGAATGCACACACTCATGGGGACTCGTGTCATTTTGGGACCTAAAGTGAGTCTTATCTTATAAATGATCGCGTTGATTTACTAAGTATAACATGACACATAACTCCAACAATAATAATATAATCTAAATGCCGAATAGCATGCAGGGTCAAAATCAAAAAAATGAAAAAACAATAGCAGACTACGGGTGACAATAATTATAGGCATATAATGACAGTGTTGATTAATGACAAAACGCTCTTCCATCTTAAACAAACACACAAGATAAGGAGTATTTCACACACTCGTTTTTTTTCTTTTATTTTTTTGTTTAAAGTTATAACTAGTTTAAATTATTTCATTTAATATTATTAATGTGTTTTTCATTGGTTTTAAAAGTTGAATTAATACCTCAAAAATCTTAACTTTTACATTTTTTTAATGAATTTTAACTTAACTTCTGAATCCAGCCTCCAGCCCCATCAAATTCTTCTTAAAGGGACAGTTCATTAAAAAAAAAAAAAAAAAAAAGGCATTTTTTTTTAAAGAATGTCACCATTTACATACTCTTATGTTGTTTCAAACCTGTGTGAGTTTATTTGTTCTGCTAAACACAAAGGAAGATATCTCATCTGTTAGATGGTTGATTGACTCACTGACTTCTCTTGTAAAGAAAAAAAAAATAATAGGCTACAAAAATTCACTGGAAGTCAATGTCTATCTTGTTTAAATACCGACATTCTTCAGAATATCTACTGTCGTGTTCAACAGATAAAAGAAACTCAGGTTTTGAGCAACATGAGTAAATGATGATTACATTTTCATTTTGGGGTGAAATATTCCTTTAGCTGCTATTTCTTCATAAGGGGATAAAAATAAAAATACTTATGACTCTTTAGTTTCATAATATTACATTTATCCGTCTAACTTTGATTTTATAAAGTCAAATTATACCTCACAAGAATCACAAACACAGATTTTCCAGACTTTATAAAAGTGGGATTTTTTTTTTTTTAACAAACACATATAACAATAATATTAAATCATTTAAATTTGTTTCCTTAGAAAATTAGAAAATATAGAAGTTTAAGACTTTGGGTTAGTAATCTGAACAAGCATCTTACACTCTAAAAATTGTTGGGTTGTTTTAACCCAACTTTGGGTCAAATATGGACAAATCCAGCCATTGGGTTACATTTTTTAATTACATTTTTAACCCAATGTTTGGGTTTGTCCATATTTGACCCAAAGTTGGGTTAAAACAACCCAGCATTTTTAGAGTGTATGAAATCATTAGTGTACATATGTTAGAAAACAGAGATTCCAGTTTAACTCTGTCCACTAGAGGACGCCATTGCATCGCATTTAGCCTCAGTGTGACTTTTGAAACCAAACTTACCGGAACTTCTTTCTCAAATATAAAGGATTACGCATGACCCATGTTGCACACTGTCACTTCTGTAGTGAAGTGCATGGGGAGATTTGGCCTGTCTATTACAGCAACCAATTATCAGTGACACTGAACCTCCGGGAGGGATGATGGGAACTGTGGGAACAGGAACAGATGTAATTAACTGCCCTGTGTTATTAGAATGACAACAGTGAAAGCTGTTTCCCATCCATTCACACACACATGCCACTCTGTGTTCAGGCCAAGACAAGATGTGTGTGTGAGGGCAACATTGCTCTCCAGCAGAATAAACCACATTATAGTCAAATAATCGAATGCAGTGTTATTTTTCATTGCGATATATGCTACAAAACTAGGTATTATACTGTATATAACAATATTGACAGACATAAAAATGCAAAAAAAAAAAAAGAATATTTTCCTCAACATTTGTCTTGTTTTTCAGTAAAAATTTTTTTAAATCAAATACTATATGCACTATTTTAGTGATTGATGTGTAACTATGTCATTAAAACCCATGCATTTTGAATAGCAGTCTGTAGTGACCTGGGTTAAATAATAAAGGTCAATGAAACTGTTTAGAGTATTCTTGTTCAGTTCACACGAAATTATAATTAGATCTCACTATGAAGCCAGATTTTTCAGCATGTATAAACTGTCACACACACACGGAGTCTGTGCGCTTCACTGAATCGTGTCATTACACTGTACACAGATGGAGAGGACACACTCAACACTGACACAAAGGGAACCACACTACTAGTAGTGCTCGTCTCTATAGGGTCAGTCAGAGATTTGAACAAATCACAAGTATTAAACTTTGACAGGTATTTGCACCGGATCTCATAAATCTCACACACTGAGAGACACACACACTCACTTTTTAAAAAAAACTTTTGCTGATAATTTACTCGCCCCCATGTCATCCAAGATGTCCACGTCTTTCTTTCTTCAGTCGAAAAGAAATGAAGGTTTTTAATGAAAACATTCCAGGATTTTCTCCATATAATGGACTTCAATGGGGACCAAACGGTTCAAGGTCCAAATGAGAGTTTCAGTGCAGCTTCAAAGGGCTGAATGATTAACAAATCTTTTTTCGAGTCATTTGGTTGATTCAATGAACGAAATGAAAGAAAGATTTGTTCATTCTGATGAACAGGAGAGTCACAAACGCTCATCACAGAATTCAGCAAGGCGAGTATTTGTGCTTATAAAACTTAAACTTTGTGGTTTTTTTTAAATGAGTGATGGTTTGACATCATCTATCATGTGGGCCATTGATCATTCGGTCATTGATTTAGTCGGCTTTTCTAGACGCTAACGGTAAAAGAAAAAGAAATGAAGGTTTTTGATGAAAACATTCCAGGATTTTCTCCATATAATGGACTTCAATGGGGACCAAACGGTTCAAGGTCCAAATGAGAGTTTCAGTGCAGCTTGAAAATGCAAAATGCAAAATTAACGAATCTTTTTTTTTTTTGTCATTTCGTTCTTTGAATCAAGCCAAATGACTCGAAAAAAGATTCATTCGTTTTGATGAACGAGTTCGAACAAGAGAGTCATGAACGCGGATCACAGAACAGAGCAAGGCGAGCATTTGAGCTTATAAAACTTAAACTTTGTTGTTTATTTTTTGAATGAGTGATCGTTTTGCTTGATAAGACCCTTATTCATCGTCTGGTGTCGTTTAAAGCCCTTTGAAGCTGCACTGAAACTCTCATTTGGACTTTGAACCGTTTGGACCCCATTGAAGTCCATTATATGGAGAAAATGTTTTCATCAAAAACCTTCATTTCTTTTCGACTGAAGAAAGAAAGACATGGACATCTTGGATGACATGGGGGCGAGTAAATTATCAGCAAACTTTTTTTTTAAAAAGTGAACTACTCCTTTATGGTCTTACTACAAATAAAACCAAAAAAGCATAACCACAAATTATGGGTTTGCGACACTAACCATGGTGTAATCATGGAATTTATAGTAAAATGTGGTTATACAAATGATAATCAATCTGTCCAAAAAAAAAAAAAAAAAACATGGTTTCTACACTTTTACCACAATAAAACCATTGTTAATTTTCATTTCCATGGCCTTTAAGTCTTAGCAACTGTATAGCAAGCACTCAGCATCCAGGCAAGAGTTTAGGAGAAAACCCGACTCTGTTTCTCTTTTAACTTTTTCCTGACATATCTTTAAATCAAATTCAGTCTCAAATGAAGCTCGAACCCCAGACGAGTCAGTCTCACCGTCCCATACATGGGCAAAATATTCGTAATCAGATGAAAAGTCATTTATCATAGTCAAATACGAAATATTTTTTCTTGGCAATCACAAGCGTGTATATAAAAAGCATAACCTGTTCAATTATCCGTGATATTTGTGAATTTATGAGCTCTCTCTCTCTCTCTTTTACAAATGCAATGTCTATGTAGAGCTTGATTTCACTTCATTTCATTGATCAAAACTGATTTACATTCATTTGTAGGTGCATTGTGGGAATGGATTTTGTAAATAACATGGAGTAAAATACTTATCTTTATGTGTTATTCTTATTCACAAAAATCGAGTAAAACTTGAAAAAAAAAAGTGTTTATCCTTAAAATATTGCTAAAAATCATAATTTTCTTCATATAAATCAGTGCAGATTTGACACAGAAAGGCACGTGAAGCTCGAGCTGAAGGAGGACGTTTTTACTTGATAACACGGTCTATTAATCAGACGACGGATGGTTTTGTTCATATTGATCATTCAGAGGCCTTTGAAATATTGAAATATGTGTCTCTTCTGTTTTAAAATCTCAGGGACAATTACTGTATAATATCTGACACAGTGTACCTTTAAAATCAGCCCTGAAATCTCCCATCTGTGTGATCTGTGCGTCACGTGTGATTCAGGTTTACTGATGGATGGAGAAGTTAAACACTGCATTAGACTGACAGCAAACAGGTGACAACAACATTTGCACAGAACAATAAAGGCACAGCAGCCCAAAATGATCAATTTAAATGGAAGTGTAACACACTTACATTTAACCCTCTGGGGTTGTTCGGCCCAAATGGACCCGAAGAATTTAAATACATTTTTTTTTTTTAAATCACAGCTTCCTCGAATGGTCCGAAATTTGGTGACTTTGTTGGTATTTGGTATTTGAACACCCAAAACAATTGGGGACAGGATGTGAATAGTCTAAGTGGTTGTAAAAAAAAATAGTCACACTTGGGGTGTTCGGGTCCAAATGGACCTGCATGGAAAATGAATGGGAAATTGGCAAAAATGTGAAAATACTGAGTTTTTTTGTGCGTACAATCTACAAATCAGCCGCGATCTTGAAAAAAAGCACACATCAGTGAAGGGGTGAATCTATAAAACATCAAGAGTGCAAAACAGACACATCCAGACACACACGCACCAAAAAATTCAGATTATACATGTGTTTTGCATTTTTAAAATGCTCAGTTTGTCCACCAGATGGCATCCATCTCATTTCAAAAATTGCTTTTATGAGGCCTAGGCTTGACTCTAAAATGAAATACAGCTTTAAAAAAAAATATATATATTTTTTAAAAATATTTTTTTTCTATTATGTTCAATGGGGGAAAATTTTGTCATAATTATTGCATTAATACTAATTATAATTTTTTTTTATTTTTGAAATTTTCTCAAAACACCAAAAAAGAAAAGAAAAAATATTATAAAAAACGAGTAAAAAAAAAATCATGATTTTTTTTTAAAAATATGAATCCCGCCCTTTGGGTCCATTTGGACCCGAACACCCCGAGTGTGAGTGTTAAACGAACAACCCCAGAGGGTTAAATCACTCACACACTCACATTTAAATCACTCACACACTTACATTTACTTCACTCAGAGAAAGGGAGTAAAATTGTCGTGTAAAACGAAATGATTCATATTCTAAGCGGCCCTCTTTTCTTTTTATACATTTATAAAATATAAAATCACTTTTTTAAAATTGCAATTTCTTTTGCTACATTTCTATAAACACATTATGACCTAAGACGTTTTGCCCTGCAGTGTTGCTGCGGCGCATTACAGAACACAATGTGCCGAATCTGAACCGTGAATGCGGACGAGAGGTTTGATCAAATGAGAAAGTCAGCATGAAAAAGTCAATTCGTCTGGCTGGAGAATCTGTGTAACACCTGCTGTCTCACAGTGACCCACAGAGCGCCTGTCATCCTCAATACCACACACACACACACACACACACACACACACACTGAGTGCTTCAGACACACTCCTCCAGATGAGAGAGAGAGAGAGAGAGAGAGAGAGAGAGAGAGAGGCAGTGGAGGAATGAACAATAGAAGATCAAATTTCACAGAGAAGTTACAAAGAAAACTATTTTTACCAAAAATAAACTAAAAAAAGCAAGAGAAATGATGTACAAACATAAACACACACACATATAAACAATCTACAGTCAATCACCTACATAGACATACACCTGAATAACACATAATTTCCTTTAAAGGGATATTTCACCCCAAACTGTAAACTCTGTCAGTAATGACTCTCCCTCATGTTGTTCAACCCCGTCAGACTTTCGTTCATCTTCGAGACACAAATTAAAGATATTTCTGATTAAATCTGAGAGCTGGATCACTCCTCTATAGGCTTCTACACTGTCAAAAAATATTTTCAAGATTTGTTATCACAACATATTTTCTTTTGTCAAATCAACTTAAATAAATTATTTAGTTCAGATAAGATATCATTTTGAGTTTCTGATGATTTAAATTAACCCCCTTCATTGTATTAACTCACTTTTTCCAGTTCAATCAACTTAAAATTTTAAGGCGACCAGGTTACTCACTTTTTTAAGTTAAACCAACAATATTTTTTTACAGTGGGCTTCTACACTGTAAAAAAAATATTTTTTTAAGATTTGTTATCACAACATATTTTATTTGGTCAAATCAACTTTATAATAATTTATTTAGTTGAGATAACTTATTATTTTGAGTTTCTGATGGTTAAATTAATCTCCCTCATTGTATTAACTCACTTTTTCCAGTTCAATCAACTTACAATTTTAAGGCAACCAGGTTACTTATTTTTTTTTTAAGTTAAACCAACAATAATTTTTTACACTGTAGCAATCACAACATTTTTTCTTTTGTCAAATCAACTTAAATAATTTATTTAGTCATTTTACGTCGAAGTGTAAGAGGGGGGTTTTCTGTAAAGCACAAGATCCCACTCTTTCAAACCCGGTTGGGCCTAACACGCTAACAGACCAATCACAGATCAGTGCCAGTGCGTTTGATTTCACCCAGCCCATTCTCACTCCCAAGGCGTCACCTAACTGACGCCTTGGGAAGCATTTGGACATGCTTCAATATCTGACGCTTTAGGCGCCCTTTAGCGTCAGTTAGATGACGCCCTAGGATCGCGTGTACCCTACCCCCACCCCACACCTAAACCTAACCGCGTCCTCTAACTGACGCTTTCCTTTAGCGTCAGTTAGATGACGCCGTAGGATCGCGTCATGTAAGTGACGTTAAAGGGCGCCTAAAGCGTCAAATATTGAAGCATGGTCAAAGGTGACGCCTTGGGGTGAGAATGTGTTGAGTCGGGGTGTAACAATTTTCGAACTAGAGCTGGGTTTCAATTCAAATTTCAAGAATTGATTCGATTCTCAAGATCTTGAATCGGTTATCATTATTCGATTCGATTCGATTTTCGAGATTTAGATAATTGTTTTTGAAAAAAGCATTTTTTTAAAGTTCACGGGGAAAATGTAGGCCTATTAATAAATCGATTCTCCGAGTTAGGGATCGATCTTTAGAAATTAATATGAAAATCGATTCAGAATTGGTGAATCGATTTTTTCAACACAGCCCTAATTCGAACCGAATTGAAAAACTGTGATACAGAACTCACGATTAGAATCGCGATACTCTCATGCCCCGCCCCCGGCCCCGCCCAGCTCAATGGACCTCATGCGTGTGACACGTTGTCCACACAGAACATTAGTGTTGTACACACAGAAGCGCTGCGTTGTTACACTATACGTGAAATCTCGAGGCCCACAGAGAACAACATGAATAGTTGAATAAAGTCGCTATTTTTGTTGGGTTCTCGCAGCTTGACAAACTTAAGATTGAGCCACTGTCGTCACTCGGACTATTTTCGATCCCTCAGAAGCCAATGGAGGAGTGAGACAGCTCTCAGATTTAATCAGAAATATCTTCATTTGTGTCCATTTTTCATTTGGGGGTGAACTAACCTTTTAACTCATTTTCCCCCATTAATTCAAGCCTTCCTTCCATTCCGTCTGGCAGGTCACGCTCCTCACATCCCATAATCGCAGTCTCTGGTCCCAGCATCACTCCTCTCAGGATGATTCGGCTCATTCCCTCTCCGGTCACACTGGGAAATTTCACATATATGAGAAGGGGAAAACTCATGGAAATGGGTGTTCAAAATTAAAATGACAATTCTGTCATCATTATCCCACTCATTTTCCCATAAAACAGACGCAGAGCCATGCAATTAATCCAAATAAAGCAAGGTTATGATTATAGCTGCAACATGGAAAGTTACATAACATTATTACATGCTTGTTTTACAGTGCAGCGATATTAGTCTACAGGTGAGTTCATGCACGGACGCAGGCTTTATTCTTAATTTCAATAACGTTTTGGTAACACTTTACAATAAGGTCCGTTAGTTAACATTAGTTAATATGAACTGCACATATACAGCATTTATTGATCTTTGTTAAAAGGACAACTCTGGCGCAAAATGAACCTTTGGTCTAATTACACATTCCTACCTAGTCAACCGTTATCTGAGATTTGTTTTCATGATTTCCGAATGTAAATAGTTTTATCTCTAAAAACAGTTTAGCTAGTATAATGCTAGTATAGGGCATAGAGTAATGACAAATAAAAATCGCTTGTTATTACCACTAACAAGGCTCAAAATAGCCCCACACCAACACGACAGCATAACAAGGTTCCCTATATTCAAACCGAAGCATTGAGAACTTTGTCAGTGTCCATACAGTTTATTAAGAAGATATTTTATAGACACAGTCAACTTCGCGAATACAGGAAGAAGCCATCTTTGAAAAATAGTCCCTATCAGTCGATCTACGAGCGCCGATCCAAGTGCCCTGAACTGAGCAGAATCTCATATGGTCCGTTGTTTCCAGAAGAAACACAAACACAAACCGTTTACTTCTCTTCAATATGTACACGTAGCCTACTGTTCGCGCTCACCGTATCACCTTATTCACATCTCACCAGCGCACTTGGATCGGCGTTCGTAGATCGACTGGTCGAGACTATTTTTCCAAGATGGCTTCTTCCTGTATTCGCAAAGTTGACTGTGTGTATAAAATATCTGCTTATTAAACTGTATGGACACTGACAAAGTTCTCAATGCTTCGGTTTGAATGTAGGGACCCTTGTTATGCTGTCGTGTTACTGTGGGGCTATTTTGAGCCTTTTTAGTGGTAATAACATGCGATTTTTATTTGTCATTACGCCCTATATACTAGCATTATACTAGCGTTATAGGCTAAACAGTTTTTAGAGATAAAACTATTTACATTCGGCAATCATGAAAACAAATCTCAGATAACGGTTGACTAGGTAACAATGTGTAATTAGACTTAAGGTTCATTTAGCGCCGGAGTTGTCCTTTAATGTTAATTTCAACATTTACTAATATTTTATTTAAATCTTGTTAACATTAGTTAAAGCACCGTGAACTAACATGAACAAACAATGAACAGCTGTATTTTTATTAACTAACGTTAACAAAGATGAACAAATACAGTAACAAATGTACTGCTCATGGTTAGTTCATGTTAGTTAATAGCTAATGAACCTTATTGTAAAGTGTTACCAACGTTTTTATATTGTCTCAGAAATGTCTGATGAGTTGAAAATTAAGCCTTTTTGTAGCTATAATTTCTTTACCTGAGGGTGTGTCTGAATGAAAACTTTTATTCAAGGCTTTGACTTTATGCTTAAAGGAGTAGCTCACTTTTAAATAATTTTTGCTAAAAAATGCACTAAACATTAATTTAACAACATTAAATGTAACATAAAACCCTAATGTACTCAAGTGATTAGAATTAAAAAAAAACCTATAGGCCTATTAAATGTGAAGTGTCACGCAGGGAATTGTGGGAATGTCAATTTATGTTTTTTCACTGTAAATTATACAATGACTGGCTCTTTTTCACTTCCCAAAACTGTACATTAAATATCCATTATATTTACCATAAGGAAACTTTTTTCACTGTAGCATTTACCGTTTTACCGTCTTTTACCGTTAAAAGCACGATCATTTTTATAATAAAGCTCTGTTAGGTAGGCTAATTAGGAAAAGGACAATTATATTTCTAAGTGAAACAGAATATAATTATGTCACATTTCAACAACAAACAAACAAATAAATAAATAATACAAATAAATAAACTAGGTTGGGAAATTATTGTCATTTTACATAGGCCTACTTTTAAAAAAAAAAAATGTTTCATTTCAAATCTATTGTAATTTGCTATTTTTTCCATGCATTTAATATTAACATGCATTAAATTACTGCATGAAGTATTTGCAAGATTAAAGGAAGGTTGTAGCATCTAGAAAAGCCGAATGATCAACGGCCCACACGTCAGCAAAAAACTCATTTCTAGCTCATCTTACCCTCATCTGTAGCAGACAGCCCATGTTTAGTAAACTAATGATGCCTGAGATTGTTTCCTTCTGTGGGTTGTGTGGGTTTAATGGAAGATTATTTGTTTATTTTATTTATTTATTTATTTGCATTGTTTGCTAAGCCTTTATAAAGACATTTCCGCCCCTGTGGGGGTGAACAATAAAGCTTCTGAATTGAACTGAACTGCATTTCACTCGTTGGAGATCGGGAAGGAGACCAGAAACATCACACGCCTCTTTGAAGTTTCTTAAATAAATAATGAATTCAATACATGGACATATTTGAAATATTTTTCAAATCTCGTCTACTCACCAAGGCTGCATTAAATACTTAAAAATACAGTTAAAACAGCAATATTGAGAAAAATTATTACAGCAGTTTTCTATGTGAATATATAAAGTTTAATTTATTCATGTTCGGCATCATTAGATCCTTCAGAAATCACTCTAATATGAGGATCTGATGCTCAAGAAACATTTATGATTATTATCAAACAGTTGTGCTTCATATTTTGGTGGAAACTGTGATGCATTTAATTTTTCAGGACTCTTCGATGAATAGAAAGTTAAAAAGAACGGCGTTTATTTGAAATGTAATCTTTTGTAACATTATAAATGTCTCTCACTTTTGATTGAATGCATCCTGAATTGCAAATATATACAACAATTTTCATTTATATTTAATAATATTAATTCGTTAAGAGAGCTATACAGGCCAAACCAAAAGTAAAAACTGAATTGTGAGCCAAAATCATATCTCACAAAACTGTATCAGTTTTTGTGAAAATCAAACTCATAAATAAGCAATCCTATAAGAGTTGTTTGTTTTGAGTATTAAAAGACCGTAAAATCTGGAAATGAAGACACATTTGCTCTAAATATATCAGTCTTAAAAAGCACCATAACTCAGCAGAGAGACGAATCACACAGATTCACACTTATTTGACAATATAATTGAAGTGTTTACAGCTATTTAAATGTTGTTATTGACTGAGGCTCTGAGCAACACTTAACCTCAGTTCATGCAGTGAGGACGTGTGTGTGTCAACAGGTCACATGAAGAAAACCACAAACCAGACCGCCACAGGCTTTAGGAAACACTAGATTTACTTGTCTGGGTGGACGGATGGATGGATTTAAAGGGTAACTAAACCCCTGGTCAGAGCCTGACTCCACCCACTAGCAATATTTGAAAAATGCTGAAAAAATGGGCAGACCCCAGCGGGGCTAGGGGGCGTGCACCTGAGACCCGCCGTGAGTGACAGCTGCTGTCAGACTCTAAAATAGAGCGAGACTAGTCTGGAGTGACTCAATAGCTGCCTTTGCAACAGAGCGGCCATTTGAAGTCGAGGACTTTTCTCCCTCACCTTCACCTTCACCTGAAGTGGATGAGGGTGAATTGTATACACAGGGCCAAATCCATTCGAGCTGCTGGCTCAAACTGCGGTCTTAACTCCCGCATCGCGACCGGCATCTGATGAGTTATGTCGTCGAGTTGATCTCAATAGCGCACGCTATTGATATTATGCCGCTATATGAAAAAATCCAGCAAAATGCACCGGCTCGTTTGTCGACCCTAGAGGATTAACTTTATCCGATTCCTAACCATAAATTGTGATTAAAATATCCACCATGATCACTCACATCAAGACGCCGTTGCGGTGGAGGAGTCCATGCAGGACGAGCAGTGTTTGGCACTGCGTGTGCAGCTGTGTGGAGAAGCCCATGTCCACCTCTATTCCGTTACTATCCTGATCACTGTACTAAACACTGATAAATCTATGCTAACTTGAAGCTATCCTAACTGTACTATGCTACTAGCTACACAAAATAATCTAAATTATCTATATAATGCTATGCTAAATAGATGCAACAATACCCTATCCTGGTCGTTTTCAAAAATAATCTAAATAACTATATAAATGCTATGCTAACTAGATGCTATTATATGCTATAGTATCCTGATCGTTTTCAATATTCATAAATCCAACTCCTGACTCGCTACAGTAGTTTTGACGGAACCAGATGCTTTTATACCAGGGGCTGCCAAGGGCGTGGTGAGCTCGCACCAAGGGTGTGACAGAGTGCGTCTGAGAGTTCGCTACGTCAGCAAGTACCCCTACTGCAGGAGCTTTCCGTTTAACCTGAAGAGGGCAGCACTCAGACGTTTTTACACCATATATTTGAAAATCAAAACACTTTATACTCAATTGTCAAAAAATGTACTCGAATCAATGAACAGCATTTATGAAGCTCCATTCTTACAGATCATTAACTAAAAAAAGTTGTTTTGGTGTTTAGTTACCCTTTAAATATATACACTCAAAAAAATAATCTGTTGAACGAACTTAATTAAATAAAGGAAAGGTTTTCCACAAAATTGAATTGCATTGTTCCAACAAATTCCAAATTAGTTTGAAATGATTTGTTGTAATCTTGTTGTATGAATTTAAATTAATTTAGTCATTCCTACTAGATAAAGTTTTGTCTAGTTAACTACATTTAGTTTTGTCCTGCCTTAAATCACCAACATTATAATTTTAGTTATTTTGACTCTATGGTCACTTCTAATGATAAGACACTTTTAAACTATTTTTATAGGCTAGTAATATTAAATTACTGAGTACCCACAGCCTGAACAGGAGCTTTAAAGCACATATAGTATAATATTGAGTCTGAACACAATACTCAGTCCCTCCAGAAGAACGCGATTATGCGATCGCTGAATTCAATGCAAAATCAGCCAAAGTCCGCATATTTATGCGGGGGGCGCATTTTTTCAAATACGCCGCACTTTCGCCGCATAAATTGCCGATTTCCGTGCAAAATATGCGGGGTTTGCATAATTTCATAATCCTCGCTTTTTCGTTGCAAAAAAAAGTCACATGTATCTTAGCAGAAAGTTGAAAAATGTTGCGTTTGCTTCACATAAGAGCAGCCATTTCCCCCTGTTTCCATGGGAACGTTATGAAGTGACGCAATTAGGCTACGCGACGCCAGACAGACTCACGGAGGCGATTGACGTCTCACAAATCGAACTCGTATAACTGTCTGTCGAACGTTCTACTGTCACATTGTTACTTAATAAACAACATAAGATAAAAGTAGTAGCATCAAATTACCCGCACACATGGGCTGTTCGACAGTTCAACAGGAGGAGCGCGCAGCTCTTAAAGGGGCCACACCTTATTTACACTCTTACAGTCTGAAATAAAACAAGATGAGAAATTAAATATTCCCAGCATTTTCTATGATGTAGTATGCTTGTTTATTAAAGGAAGTAATAAGAAATGACTCTTATATTAACAGGATGTTGGGGGAATCACTTTTTTTCTCTTGTTCATCAAACCGCAATTTTTGCAAGTTCCCTCAATTTTTGTAAATTCCAGCAATTTCATCGCATAAAATTGCATAAATATCCCACATATTCCATCGCATTTTTAAAGAAAACTGGCCGCATAATCAATCAATTTTTGCCCGCAACAATCACAAAAAAAAACTCCGTGTTTTTCTGGAAGGACTGAATACTATTATGGTAAATGTTAAATATAAATCGCAAATTTTTTCACAAATTTTTGGAAATTACCACCACAAAATCAGTCATTTTGATCGCAAAAATCACAAAAAAAAAAAAAAATCGTGAAATCCATACTGACCTAAACACAGTCACCACTCTTCTGCATAATGGTAACCACAAAATTCAAAAACATACCGAAAGTACTCTAACACATAACTGAACATTAAACACTAATAACATCTTTCCATTTACTGAAAAACACATAAAAGAACACTTTTTCCATAAATTGACCCTCTTAATGCAGTCCCTTGCAAAGCATGCTGGGAACTACAGATCCACTGCCCAGTTAGATGTCAACAACAATGATTCATGTATAGATTCCACACAAATGAATTAGGTTGATTGAACACAATTAAATTAAGTTGTGACAATATTAAACAATCATGTTACTTTTGCTTATTTTAATTAATTATTTTAACAAGAGTCCAAAATTCATTTTTTGAGTGACATCCGTTTAAGACGAACGAAAAATATTCATGTTGACTCAATTAAAAAAAAAATTGGTAAACCAAAGTTTTAAAAAGATTGCATTGATTACATTTAATGAAATGAATCACTTCTATGAAGGATTGTGTCGTATATGCTCATTTTAATTAATGAAATTGAACAAAGAGCTAAAAAAGAGTGTAGGTTACATCTACACAGTGTGTGTGTGTTGGTTCTGAAATATATATTATCACACACACACATATTAACTACATTGTGTGATAAATGAACTGTAATAATAGCCATTTCGTTCATGACTTAGACTGCTAAAAGGTTAGACATTTTTAAACAAAATTAAAAATAATAAAACTGAATAAAAAAAAAAACGAATAGACAGACGGATAGATAGATAGATGGATGGATGGACATATTTGACTAACTAAAGGGTTAATGGTATATTAGGATGCTTCTGTAACTCGTGTATTTCAAAGCTTCCTGATAATCCTGGAAAATGGGAGGATAATGGAACATCAGGATGAGCTCAAATCAGATATAACTCTCTCTCTCTCTCTCTCTCTCTCTCTCTCTCTCTCTCTCTAACAACACTTACAGCTTGTTTCTCCTGAAATCCAAAAATAAGCATCCGGGAGAGCTGTCAGAGCCGCGCTACATTCCTCGAGCCGAGCCCGGACAGACAGAACGAGCAAACCGAGCGATGGAGAGAGAGAGATGGAGAGAGAGAGATGAAGAAAGAGAGATGTTAGTTCAGAATCATAAAGCTTGACTCAAACGTGTCCCTCTACATTAGTGAGGCTGATATTCCCTCAGAGAATAAAGCAAAAACACAAGCTGTTCCTCAGCAGGACAGAACCAACGAAAGATTTCTACTAATAGCTCAATTAAAACTGTGCCTGGGGGTTAATAAAAGCAATTAGATAAAATTACACAGCAATTTCAACAAATAGACATCAGAAACATAAAATCACAAAAAGTGACATTCAAATTCAAATATTATTGCGTGTGTGTATGTGTAATTTATATACACACACACACACACACACACATATATATACTGTATATATGCACACATATAAATGTGTGTACACACACACACAAAATATATAAAATATATACACACACTTTATAGAAACACAAACTTATGCTCACGGTAATTTACTGACTCGTGAATGTTCTCACTGGACTATGAAATCCCACCCGCGGCCTGACCTGTCAATCATCCGAGCGCTTTATTACTTTCTCAAATCTCTGCGTAATGAAATCTTCACAGCGAGTAACTACTTCATGTATCCATCTATTACTGTGAAGTCTGTGATGACTGGAAAACATTCATTAATGTAATGTAGTTAAAGTAAAAGCAGAACAACGCAAAAAGAAAAAAGCATGCACTCTTAGAAGAAAAGGTTCTATATAGAACATTAAAAGGTTCTATCAGCGCTATGTATTTGGAACCCCTAAAAGGTTCTATGCACTCTTAAAAAAAGGGTTCCTCTGAGTTCTATATAGAACCCTGGGGTTCCATACTTGGCCAATAGAACCTTTTACCAAAAAAAAAAAAAAATGGTTCTATAGTTCTATTTAGGAGTTCCATATATGAAGCGGGGGATGGAACCATTTCTGGTTCTAAATGGAACCATTTCTTCTAACCGAATGCTGTGTCAGTCGGGAAGTTATGCATTGTTTAGTGTTTTGGGAAGCTTTTCCAGAGAGTTTTTCTGGCCTCGGCTTGTCTGAGCGCTGATGAGGGAAGGGGAAGGTGTGTGTATGTGTGTGTGTGTGTGTGTGTGTGTGTGTGTGCACGCTACACCCACCTCCTGTCAGAAGAGCATGTGAATCCTGGTGGGCTGAAAAACACAAGAACAGCAAGAACACAGCCGAGAGAAATCTGCAGAACAGCGTCATAATCCTGGAAATGCATTAAAGCCTACAGTGTGTGTGTGTGTGTGTGTGTGTGTGTGTGTGTGTAAGGGGGCAGGTAAGCAGGTGTTGCACCCGTTCTATAATCTTGCCTCTGCATTCATTAAGTGTCAATGCAATACCATAGATTTTGAAGATGTATAGCTTTTGATGTCAACCATTAAAAAATGTTCCTAAAAGCCCCTTTTCCCCCCCTATTGATACACAACTATATGTTTGTTTGTGTTTTATTCTCCTGCCAGATCAGACCTGTGACTCGCATCGATGCATAATTTATACCTAATGACGGCGGGGAAAAGAAAACAGAAAGAGTGCAGATGTGGGCGGTGAAATATAGACAAAGTTAAGCTTGCTTTCCTCTCACACTCACTCACTCACTGACTCACTCACTCACTCACTGACTCACTCACTCACTCACTCACTCACTGACTCACTCACTCACTCACTCACTCACTCACTGACTCACTCACTCACTCACTGACTCACTCACTCACTCACTCACTCACTCACTCCCTCACTCCCTCTCTCTCTCACTCCCTCTCTCTCTCACTCACTCACTCACTCACTCACTCACTCCCTCTCTCTCTCACTCACTCACTCACTCACTCACTCCCTCCCTCACTCACTCACTCTCTCACTCACTCACTCACTCACTCACTCCCTCACTCCCTCACTCACTCACTCCCTCACTCCCTCACTCACTCACTCACTCACTCACTCCCTCACTCACTCACTCACTCATCATTGAGCTCAAATTGTCTTGATGGCGTTTCCCAAATCAATACCATGAAGCAGGAAAACAATCCCGCTGTTCCTGACTGAGATGACACATTTCTCACACCCTGAAATTGGTTGGACACACACACACACACACACTCACTCACTCACTGACTCTCTCACACACTCACTCACACTTTCATACATACACTCACTCACTCACTCACTGTTTCTCACTCACTGACTCTTTCTCACTCACTCACTCACTTTCTGTCTCACTCACTCATTGTTTCTCACTCACTCACACACTCACTCACTCACACACTCATACACTCACTCACTTTCTGACTCACTCACTCACTCTGTCTCACTCACTCACTGTTTCTCACTCACTCACTCACTCACTCATACACTCACTCACTCACTGACTGACTCACTCACTCACTCACTTTCTGACTCACTCACTGACTCACTCACTCACTGACTCTTTCTCACACACTCACTCACTTACTGACTGACTCACTGACTCTCTCACTCACTGACTCACTCACTCACTTTCTGACTCACTCACTCACTGACTCACTCACTCACTTTCTGACTCACTCACTCACTGACTCTGTCTCACTCACTCACTTTCTGACTCACTCACTCACTCTGTCTCACTCACTCACTGTTTCTCACTCACTCACTCACTCACTCACTCACTCACTCATACACTCACTCACTCACTGACTGACTCACTCACTCACTCACTTTCTGACTCACTCACTGACTCTTTCTCACACACTCACTCACTTACTGACTGACTCACTGACTCTCTCACTCACTGACTCACTCACTCACTTTCTGACTCACTCACTCACTGACTCACTCACTCACTTTCTGACTCACTCACTCACTGACTCTGTCTCACTCACTCACTTTCTGACTCACTCACTCACTCTGTCTCACTCACTCACTGTTTCTCACTCACTCACTCACTCACTCACTCACTCACTCACTGACTGACTCACTCACTCACTCATACACTCACTCACTCACTGACTGACTCACTCACTCACTCACTTTCTGACTCACTCACTGACTCTTTCTCACACACTCACTCACTTACTGACTGACTCACTGACTCTCTCACTCACTGACTCACTCACTCACTTTCTGACTCACTCACTCACTGACTCACTCACTCACTTTCTGACTCACTCACTCACTGACTCTGTCTCACTCACTCACTTTCTGACTCACTCACTCACTCTGTCTCACTCACTCACTGTTTCTCACTCACTCACTCACTCACTCACTCACTCACTCACTGACTGACTCACTCACTCACTCATACACTCACTCACTCACTGACTGACTCACTCACTCACTCACTTTCTGACTCACTCACTGACTCTTTCTCACACACTCACTCACTTACTGACTGACTCACTGACTCTCTCACTCACTGACTGACTCACTCACTCACTGACTCTCTCACTCACTGACTCACTCACTCACTTTCTGACTCACTCACTGACTCTTTCTCACACACTCACTCACTTACTGACTGACTCACTGACTCTCTCACTCACTGACTCACTCACTCACTGACTGACTCACTCACTCACTCATACACTCACTCACTTTCTGACTCACTCACTCACTTTCTGACTCACTCACTGACTCTTTCTCACTCACTCACTCACTGTTTCTCACTTATTGACTCTTTCTCACTCACTCACTCACTTTCTGACTCACTCACTGACTCTTTCACACACACTCACTGACTCACTCACTTATTGACTCACTCACTGACTCACTCACTCACTTATTGACTCAGTCACTCACTGACTAACTCACTCACTTATTGACTCTCACTGACTTACTGACTCACTCATTCACTCACTCACTCACTCACTCACTCACTCACTCATTGACTCACTCACTCATTCATTTACTTACTTACTCATTGACTCACTCACTCACTCTTTCTCACTGCTCGCTCACTCACTCACTCGCTCACATCCTGATAAACAATAGGAGTGTGTGCAGTGGTCAGATGTCACAGGTCCACGCTCTGAAACTCCTCCATGTGCTGCAGGATTTACACAAGGCATATCTTTCACATCTAAGGGCTTTAAGGCAGAGTCTCGGCGTCATACACACATCCGGGGGATTTACACTTGATCTCAGTCGTGACACTCGGCTGCCGCATCGTGTTAATCTTCAGACCACACACACACACACACTAATTGGCTCGTCTGGTGCTGTGCATAATTCGCTTTTTTTCACTGAAAATCAAAATGAAAGAAAAGGCTCAAAATGATCATGTATGATGATATCAGAGCTATATGCATCTGAAACGATGACTTAGATGAATCACCATGAATAACTACATAATATCTGATACTACTTCACATGAAAACAGAAACTCAAAATATTCACAAAAACTACAATGCTATCAATGATACTTAATACGTGACATTATTTTCTAGATCAGTGAGTTTCCTTCCAGATTCTCATAATCTGTCTGAATATTTTATATTTTATTTGAGGTTATGAAAATGTGCTTCACTAATGACACATCACCCTTGTGCTCCAATAAAAACTGGCTTCATTGTATTTTGTGATCATTTCTCATTTCTTTTGCAGTTTCTGTGGGACTCGCGCATCTACTCTGTCTGCTTTTTCAAATGCAAATGTTCCAGTCTGATTATGCATTAGATTTTGATATGAAGAATAATTTCTACATAATTTCAAGCAGAGCATCACTATTTAATAGGAAAAAAACCCAGAGAAACACATTTATATAAGCACGATGAAAAAGAAAATGAAGCACAGATGATGGTACATTGAAAACACTTCTGTATTGTTTAAATGCTCCGCTTCAATTCAAAACTGTCCATTGTGTTCATAACCAGGACAATTTCATTTTCTATTTGGGTCAAACAATATCTAAACTCATGCAGATCGGCCTGCTTTAAAAGGCCAGTATTTGGATTCAGAATGGAAAGCCATTTTAAGAGTTTAATAACGTTTTAGAAGTACATAAACATGTGAATTTTAGTGTTAAAGGAGTAGTTCACTTTTAAAAAACGTTTGCTGATAATTTACTCGCCCCCATGTCATCCAAGATGTCCATGTCATTCTTTCTTCAGTCGAAAAGAAATTACAGTTTTTGATGAAAACATTCCAGGATTTTCTCCATATAATGGACTTCAATGGGGTCCAAACAGTTCAAGGTCCAAATGAGAGTTTCAGTGCAGCTTCAAAGGGCTTTAAACGACACCAGACGATGAATAAGGGTCTAATAAGCCATTACATAAATAAATAACAAAGTTTAAGTTTTATAAGCTCAAATGGTCGCCTTGCTCTGTTCTGTGATGCGCGTTCATGACTCTCCTGTTCGAACTCGTTCATCAAAATGAACAAATCTTCTTCCGAGTCAATTCGTTCATTTCGTTCGTTGAATCAACCAAATGACTCGAAAAAAGATTTGTTCATTTTGATGAAGAGGAGAGTCACGAACGCGCATCACAGAACAGAGCAAGGCGAGCATTTGAGCTTAAAAAACTTAAACTTTTGTATTTATTTATTAAATGAGCGATCGTTTCGCTTCATAAGACCCTTATTCATCATCTGGAATCGTTTAAAGCCCTTTGAACAGTTTGCACTGAAACTCTCGTTTGGTCCCCATTGAAGTCCATTATATGGAGAAAATCCTGGAATGTTTTCATCAAAAACCTTCATTTCTTTTCGACTGAAGAAAGAAAGACATGGACATCTTGGATGACATGGGGGCGAGTAAATTATCAGCAAACGTTTTTTGTTTTTAAAGTAAACTACTCCTTTAATACGTTGCACTGCCATCTTAAAATTAATACAATTTAATTAATGATAAAGTATAAATTTGCCTTCAGACAGTTTCACTTGACATTACAATTGTTGTGCTGAAAGTCATGAAACTTGGTGCTTCTTAGATCGAGAATAATGCTGATATTTCTAAATAGAGTAGCTCAATAAACTGCAAAAACTGATGTAGGCCTATTTTTAACAGTATTACATAAACTAATTAGATCATATTCTGCTTTTATCAGAAAAAAAGTCTTCCTTGTGCTGAAAGAGAAAGGGAAAAACATGAAAATCAATGAAAAGCACTGGGTTTTGTGTAAACGCTGCATAAGCGATTTCTTGCTAAAGTTATTTTTACACACAAACGGCAGCAGTTTCATGAAAGGACCCAGAAATCAAAACTCAAACAAATATAAATTCACACGGGACAATCAAAGACAACAGTGCCGAGGAAGAGGTTATGCTGGAAACTGAGACAAAGATTTATAAAACATTATCACTCTCTCTCTCTATGTGTGTGTGTGTGTGTGTGTGTTTAATTATAAATGAAAGAAGAAATATTAATGCAATAGGTTCAGAGAAAGAGCAGCATCAACAGCCAGCGGGTGAGAAGACTGAACCAAAATAAATAAATTATATTTCAGAAGTAAACAGTGAGCGAAACGAAATATTGTTGAAATTCGTTGAGAAACGCATTAAAAAAAATGGGATTTATGATGGAGAATTTGGAGAAAAGTAAGCTGTGAAACTTGGCCAGAGGAATGCGTGTGTGTGTGTGTGTGTGCGTGCTTTAGGGTTAACCTACTGTGTGTGAGTGTCTATCTGTGTTAGGGTTAGTGTGTGTATGAGTGTGTGTGCGTGTTTGTTTGAGTATGTGTCTATGCGTTTGAATGTGTCTGAGTGTGTGTGTGTTCAGCGATGGGTTGGACTCCAGCATGACGTCACGTGATTAGCTCCAGCTCGAGCTCACACATCTGAACACTCAGTCCGGTGTGGAGCGCGTGTGTGTGTAGAACTCGCGTGCGCGTCTCTGGAGCGCGCCCGGCAGAACGCGCGCAGCTACTCTGGAATTATATTTCTTCTCCGTGTCGAAACCGGACAGGGATTTTTAAAAAAAAAAGTCTTTGCGCGCGCGATGAGCAGCTTTAACCTCGCAAGCATGAGACGATCGCGTCCGCAGAGCGCACTGACAGCTCAAGTTTTTCCCGCGTCATTACATCAGTGCACTGGTGACACCACCTAACTGGAAACACTAACCTGACTGTGAGAAAGATGGACTCAGCATGGATGTGACTCAGTCCAATGCAACGGAAAACATCACCTCAAAACCATGGCCGTACACGGACACGGCCGCCGCGTTCATCATCCTCGTGGTCTCCATCATCATCCTGCTCACCATCGTCGGGAACGTGTTGGTTATCGTCGCGGTTCTGACCAGCCGCGCGCTCCGCGCGCCACAGAACCTCTTCCTCGTGTCGCTCGCGTGCGCGGACATCCTCGTGGCCACCCTCGTGATCCCGTTTTCACTCGCCAACGAGGTCATGGGACACTGGTACTTCGGCAGCACCTGGTGCGCGTTTTACCTGGCTCTGGATGTGCTGTTCTGCACATCCTCCATCGTGCACCTGTGCGCCATCAGCTTGGATAGGTACTGGTCCGTCACCAAAGCGGTGAGCTACAACTTAAAGAGGACACCAAAGCGCATTAAGACGATGATCGCGGTGGTGTGGGTCATTTCAGCCGTCATCTCATTCCCACCCCTCATCATGACCAAACACAACGAGACGGAGTGTTTAATCAACGACGAGACCTGGTACATCCTCTCCTCGTGCGTCGTGTCGTTTTTCGCGCCGGGGTTCATCATGATCACGGTGTACTGTAAAATATACCGCGTCGCCAAACAGCGCTCGTCCACCGTATTCGTGGCGAAGAACGGGTTGGAGAGGCAGCCTTCGCAATCCGAGACGTGCTTCGTGCGTAAAGCCAAGTTCGAGAAGGAGTCTCCGAGCACCAACAGCTCCGACAGCAACCAGGGGCAGGAGGAGTTGGACGATATCGATCTGGAGGAGAGCGCGACTTCGGACAGCAAACACAAGAGCTCGCGCTTCTCCAAGCGCAAGGTGGACGGCGCGCGCTGCGGTGGCGCGCAGAGGGCTTGCAGGATCTCCTGGGCTTCCCATCAGGAGCAGAGCAGCAAACAGCTCGCCGTGGTGTCCAAAACCAAAGTGGCTCAGATGCGAGAGAAGCGCTTCACCTTCGTGCTGGCTGTGGTGATGGGGGTGTTTGTCCTCTGCTGGTTCCCGTTCTTCTTCACCTACAGTCTCCAGGCCATCTGCGGGGAGAGATGCGAGCCGCCCGTCGCGCTGTTCAAACTCTTCTTCTGGATCGGATACTGTAACAGCTCGGTCAATCCCATCATTTACACGATTTTCAACAGGGACTTTAGGAAGTCTATTAAGAAAATCGTTTGCGTGACGACGCAGCACACCTGACCTGACCCGACCCGACCTGAGAGACTCGTGTTCGGACACGTTTAAATGTGTGAATGACAACAAACCGAGTGGAATCTGCTAAATACTTTTACCTTTTCTTTTTTTTTTTAAGCAATTAAGTGTTTCTTCGCTCATCACAGTCTTGGAAACCATTCATCATGTCTTGCATGTCAAATATTATATAACATCATATTTAATAAAATATTGGATTCTCGAGCTGACAGATATATTAATTTACGAATATGAATCTCAAGCTAAATGGTCCATTCCCTTGTTCCATTAAGATTTATACATGGAATTATACGTGCCCATACCTGAAGAAACACTCTATGTGTTTTAATTAACTGGGTTAAGTATGAAGTCATCAATTGTTTTATCATTTAAAACCCAACTAAGCTATATTTCTTTAAAACACGCCACCTGGTTTGATTGTTTTTCCTAATGCAATGTCATTCACACATTAAATAATTCTTGGTGCCACTGATGTACATAACGTTTGTATATATTAAGTGAGAAATAACTGACTTACATGTTATCAAAACTCCCTGTAAATATTGCCTATAAAATGTATAAATGTAAAAAAAGGGCATTAAATATTAAATTGTGCTGTAGGCTATATTTTCCACAGTTTAGTTGATTTAGTGTTTATTAAATGTTAGATGTTTGTTTTCTGGATAATTATGTGGTTATTGTATTAAATATTATTATTATTATAGGAGACCGGGGCTAGTTGTCTCAGTAACTGTGACATCATCAGGCAAAGGGCCAATTATAACGTGTATGTTGCTTTTAAACACCTTCAAAATTGCCTTAAATTAGTATCTGTGCAATTTATTTATTTTTTAATTGCGATTTTAGAAAAAAGGGTGTTATCCTTGACTTGAAGTCTGATTATATGCGTATCAAACTCTGAAAAAAAAAGAAGATTTATAGAATACATGACGTCCCAGGTGAAAAAGATGTACAATTAAGTGTATTAAAAATCTACTTAAATATGTTTTTAGTACAATACAAATATAATGTAAAACATTTTTAATACACTTAATTGGACGTCTTTTTTACCTGGGCTAAATGTTTAAATTTAACGCAATAACGCCAGGAGTCAACAACAGTGTGTTTTCAGGTCAAAAGTTGGAGGTTTGGGGCAAGTTGTCACATTTTTTATGCACAGCTATTTTTAAATGTTTTCTATTTCTGTTGCCAAAAGGATGAATTTTATGTGTTATTTGGTACATTTTTACTTTTTCATGAATTGTTTACAGCCCTTTTTGGTACAAAAGGTCATCTTTTTTCTTTCTCTCTTTCTGTGGGAAATAAAAGCATGAATGTTAAGTAACTTTTTTACATTCCAGATATTAAGATTTGTGTCCATACGGACTTAAACCTGACCTCAGAAATATATTATAGAAATAAAACTAACCCGGTCTCTATCTGTGGGGAACTAAAAGGGCTGTCAATGTCGACTAAGAGAAGCTTTCCCATAACTCTCTTAAAGGCTCTTAGTGACTATAAGAAACATAAATGACTTGTTTCACACACACACACACACACACAGAGAGAGAGAGAGAGAGAGAGAGAGAGAAGGTTGTTTCTAATTCAAGACTGGTAGGCTACAGCTAAAGGACATAGTATCTGATGAATGCACACTGTAATCCATCATATTTTGTATCTTAATCTAAAGTCGGACTATATTTCTGCATTCAGCCAGGACTGACGTCTCCAGAAGAGGATTTATCTTAAAAGCGCTGTCACAAATTGAGATGCTTTTCCTGAAACTACTCTTATCACGATCTAAACCCCTTCACAAACAAAACATGCAGCCTAGAAGAGGTCCAAACCTTCCTACAGAAAACCAACAACACCCTGCTATAAATGTCCATCTATGTGAAAGGTCATGCTTAAACTGCATCATACCACACACACACACACACACACACACACACCGGCTCCATCCACCAAGCAATGCATGGATTAGCGGGGCCTCAGCCAGTCAGGGGCCTCGACTCGAGCTCTGCAGTTTCCTGATAGCCAAGGATCTGTCAGAGTACAATTACAAAGAAACAGTGCTTGAGTGACTTTTGGCAACAAATGTAGTTCGTCCCACACACCTCCGCTTGTTGCCGTCTACATTACTCACTACATATTGTCTCCCTTGGAATGAGTCTTCATGTGTTTCAGGCTCTACTAGAACAGGTTTTTCTGCTTGAATGTTGATTATTTTCGTCATATTCTCCATTGTTGCGGCTCCTCTCTTCCCAGTCTGTCAGTAACGCTCTGTTTACTTCCTGTCTCTATGAAGCCCCTCCTTCCGAGAAGTGAGTGATTCAGTGAGTGATTCAGTGAGTGAGTGACTAATTCAGTAAGTGTGTGAGTGATTCAGTGAGTGACTGATTCAGTGAGTGACTCAGTAAGTGAGTGAGTGAGTGAGCAAGTGATTCAGTGAGTGAGTGAGCAAGTGATTCAGTGAGTGAGTGAGTCAGTGAGTGATTCAGTGAGTGAGTGTATCAGTAAGTGAGTAAGTGACTGATTCAGTGAGTGATTCAGTAAGTGAGTGAGTGATTCAGTGAGTGAGTGAATGATTCAGTGAGTGAGTGATTCGGTGAGTGAGTGATTCAGTGAGTGAGGAAGTGATTCAGTGAGTGAGTCAGTGAGTGAGTGATTCAGTAAGTGACTGATTCAGTGAGTGATTCAATAAGTGAGTGAGTGATTCAGTGAGTGAGTGAATGATTCAGTGAGTGAGTGATTCGGTGAGTGAGTGATTCAGTGAGTGAGCAAGTGATTCAGTGAGTGATTCAGTGAGTGAGTGAGTGAGTCAGTGAGTGAGTGATTCAGTGAGTGACTGATTCAGTGAGTGATTCAGTGAGTGAGTGAGTGATTTGGTCAGTGAGTGAGTGAGTGATTCAGTGAGTGAGTGATTCAGAGAGTGAGCAAGTGATTCAGTGAGTGAGTTAGTGAGTCAGTGAGTGAGTGATTCAGTGAGTGACTGATTCAGTGAGTGAGTGAGTGAGTGATTCAGTAAGTAAGAGAGTGAGTGAGTGATTCAGTAAGTAAGTGAGTGAGTCCGTTGATGGATAAATCGATAGATAGATCTCACAGCTTTTGCGTTTGAGGTGAACCTGTTTTCATGAGATTTGCCCAAACATCAACTGTTAAATAAATAAGCTAACAAAAACCATTTCCCATGATCAGCGAATCACAAATAGAAACCCCAGCATGTTGTCTGACAAGGTCTCTGGTGTAGTTCAGGGCTGGAAACAGAGGTCAGAGGTCAAATAAGAGACTCTGATGAGGGCCTATTGTCTGAGACCTGGCAGTGGGGATACAATAAATGCTCTATTTATATCTGTTGTGGAATTTGTCTTCTGTCCTTCTTCTCTGGACGGGTTTGGCCCAGATCCAGCCATGCTGGGTTAGAAATCCCACACCACACAGGGTTCAATGCATGAGAAAAACAGGACCTCCGAATGCCTCTGGTTTCCTCGCGCACCCTGATGATTCTGATCTGATGGTCTCTGAAACACAGCCAGAACCTCACATCATTTCCTGATACAATACTTCTGCATTAGTATTTCACACTGGGGAGTTTGTGTGCAGATTATTAGCATAATTCCATGTATTGTGACTAATATTTACAGATTGCAATAGGTTTGATTTCTTTGAAGTGAAAGGTCATTCGCTTCCAGCTATAGTGAGAAAACTGTTATTAGTGTGAAAAAGAATAACTAATTATAGAAGCTTGTTTCTGTAATTGTGACTTTTTCCTCACAACTGTGTTTATTTCTCACAACTGGGAGTATAAAACTTGTAATAGGGTGTTAATGTCTTGCAATTCTGACTTTTTCTTTTAGAATTGCAAATAATTCTAAGAATAATTCTGAGTTTACATCACATCAATTCTGTATATTGTTCCTGCCACTTTATCTCACTTATCCCCCCTTCGAGTTTATATCTTGTTTGCATCTTGCATTCTTGATCTTAATGAATCACTCCCTCACTGAATCACTCACTCACTGAATCACTCAATGAATCCCTCACTGAATCTCTCACTCACTGAATCACTCACTCACCTAATTAGTCACTCACTGAATCACTCACTCACTCACTGAATCACTCTCACTCACTCACTCACTGAATCACTCAATGAATCACTCACTCACTCACTCACTCACTGAATCACTCAATCCCTCACTCAATTAATCCCTCACTGAATCACTCACTCACTGTATCACTCACTCACTGAATAACTCACTCAACTAATTACTCACTCACTGAATCATTCACTCACTCACTCACTCACTCACTAAATCACTCTCACTCACTCAATCACTCACTTACCAAATTACGCACTCACTGAATCACTAACTAAATTACTCACTCACTGAATCACTCATTCACTCATTGAACAACTCAGTCACTCAATCACTCAGTCACTGAATCACTAACTCACTGAATCACTCAATCCCTCACTCAATGAATCCCTCACTTAATCTCTCACTCACTGAATCACTCACTCACCTAATTAGTCACTCACTGAATCACTCACTCACTCACTGAATCACTCTCACTCACTGAATCACTCAATGAATCACTCACTCACTCACTCACTCACTCACTGAATCACTCAATCCCTCACTCAATTAATCCCTCACTGAATCACTCACTCACTGTATCACTCACTCACTGAATAACTCACTCAACTAATTACTCACTCACTGAATCATTCACTCACTCACTCACTCACTCACTCACTCACTCACTCACTCACTCACTGAATCACTCTCACTCACTCAATCACTCACTTACCAAATTACGCACTCACTGAATCACTAACTAAATTACTCCGAATCACTCATTCACTCATTGAATCACTCAGTCACTCAATCACTCAGTCACTGAATCACTAACTCACTGAATCACTCAATCCCTCACTCAATGAATCCCTCACTTAATCTCTCACTCACTGAATCCCTCAATCCCTCACTCAATGAATCCCTCACTGAATCTCTCGCTCACTGAATCCCTCACTCACTGAATCATTCACTCACCTAATTTCTCACTCACTGAATCACTCATTCACTGAATCACTCACTGAATCACTCTCACTCACTCACTGAATCACTCAATCACTGAATCACTCACTGAATCACTCAGTCACTGAATCACTCAGTAACACACTCACTGAATCAATCACTCACTGAATCACTAACTCACTGAATCACTCACTCACCGAATTCTGAACACCTCAGAATTTCTTTATAGGAAGATGACTAGAATTTTGACTTTTTTTTTCTCAGAATTTAGAGTTCAATATCACACAATTCTGACTTTTTGCTTAGAATGATTAGTTTACATGTCAAAATTCATTTTTTTTTCTTGTCCACAGATAAAAAAAAGGTAATTGTGACTTTTCATCTAACTTCATTCCTCACAACAGCACGTTTATATCTTACAACCCCGTTTGTATCTCGCAATTCTGAGAAAAAAAAAGTCTAAATTGTGAGATAAAAAGTCACAACTCCATTTTTTTTAAACCCCTATCAGAAATAATCATCCATAACTAATTAAACTGTAAATAAACCATGTTATGTGGATGGAAGGATGCACAAAGCACCTCATTACCCGACGCTTGACTTCCCACACTCTCGAAGGATGTTAGAAATTAATTAAAGTTTCCAAAGATCTTAGAATATGCTTTATCGAGCACACTCCTTTGACACAAAGGACCATGTGTCGGATCACAGCGAGACGGCATGAACGTGCTTTCAGCTTGGGAAGAGTATGCAAATACACACAGGCTAAAGGACACGAGTCCCTAATGAAGCCCTCTCATGCAATCTGTTTTTGCGTCATGCCAGCGCCACGGTTTACGATATTGCCAAATGCAAGACTAGTGCTAAAGTCCCCTGCCAGATCTAGTCTCCCAACTCAATTATCTTTCTAATCAGCTGCTTCATTGCCTTGAAAAGAGATACAACACTTTCAATTAGGTTCTGTGATTCAGCTTTGTTCTCGTATATGGGGAGCAATCATCCAGTGCATGTTCACATTGTTCGCGTCTCGTGGGCTTTTTCGCAATCTCCCCTAAAAACCCATTGAGCTTTTGGCGCTTCGTCGGCACCATTCATTTCACATTCTCAAGCGCCTCGCTCTTAAAAGCCATTCTCATTTCGGCTCTAAACAATGAGAGAGGAAATCAGGTCCAGTTGCGTTCACCTTTGACCTGCCTGTTCTTCTCAATCGCTCGCGATTTCCACACAAACGACTAATGAGAGATCCAGACACAAGAGGAAAACACTTCCAGACTCCAGGGGAAAACAGCTGATAAACAAAGGAAAGACGCACACAGAGACTGTTGGGAAACAGGAAGATCAACTTTAACAACAGGAAGTGCTTGAAGAAGCATGACCAAAATATCAAGGTATGAGTAATTTTAGACCATGGTAACAATCTAAACATGATTTCACGAGTTCACACTCACTAATGATCAGAGAATAAAAAAATGGTTATGCGTATTTGGCGTGCTGTCCGGGGGGAGGGCTCCGAGCTCGGAAATTGGGCCCGAACCCAGAGTCCTCCCACCGTATCTCTGTTTAGGAAGATAATTAGGCAAGTGTGAGGAGATGGGGTGGTGGAGGGATGCTGAGAACAGTCGAGGAATAAGGGTGAGTCAACTGTGTGTTTTTATTGGCTTTACTTGTGCTGATTGAGTGAACCAGTTGATTACTGATTGCTGACAGCTGGCTGACTTGATTGTTTGATCATTAGAACGTGATCCTCCCGAAACTTGTTAATAAAACATTGATTAAAGGGACAGTCCTTTTATCTTATCTTGATCATAGCAGCGGGATTTAGCATGCTAAGCTACCACATAAAGCTAAAACAGCTACAAGTTATCGCGAGAACAGCTTTAGATGGACCACACGTCACTATGGAAGCTTGTTTCCGCCAATGAATAAAAAAATATAATAAATAATTGTGACTTTTTATTTCACAATTCTGACTTTTTTTCTCACAATTGCGAGTTTATATCTCGCAATTCTGACTTTATAACACATAATTGCGAGTTTATATGTCGAAATTCTGACATCTTTTCTCAGAATTGTGAGATATAAACTCGCAATTGCGACATATTAGGCCAATTCTAAGGGGAAAAAAAGACTAACTTTTTTCCCCCCTCAGAATAGTTTAAATCTCACAATTCTGACTTTATATCTCGCATTTCTGACTTTATAACACGCAATTGCGACTTTATATCTCGCAATTCTGACTTTTTATCTCGCATTTCTGACTTTATAACACGCAATTGCGACTTTATATCTCGCAATTCTGACTTTATATCTCGCAATTCTGACTTTATATCTCGCAATTCTGACTTTATATCTCGCAATTCTGACTTTTTATCTCACAATTCTGACTTTTTTTCTCACAATTGCGAGTTTGTATCTCGCAATTCTGACTTTATAACACATAATTGCGAGTTTATGTCGAAATTCTGACATCTTTTCTCAGAATTGTGAGATATAAACTCGCAATTGCGACATATTAGGCCAATTCTAAGGGGGAAAATAGACTAACTTTTTTTCCCCCTCAGAATAGTTTAAATCTCACAATTCTGACTTTATATCATGCATTTCTGACTTTATAACACGCAATTGCGACTTTATATCTCGCAATTCTGACTTTTTATCTCGCATTTCTGACTTTATAACACGCAATTGCGACTTTATATCTCGCATTTCTGACTTTATATCACGCAATTGCGACTTTATATCTCGCAATTCTGACTTTATAACACGCAATTGCGACTTTATATCTCGCAATTCTGACTTTATATCTCGCAATTCTAACTTTATATCTCGCAATTCTGACTTTATATCTCGCAATTCTGACTTCATATCTTGCAATTCTGACTTTATATCTCGCAATTCTAACTTTATATCTCGCAATTCTGACTTTATATCTCGCAATTCTGACTTTATATCTCGCAATTCTGACTTTATATCTTGCAATTCTGACTTTATATCTCGCAATTCTGACTTCATATCTTGCAATTCTGACTTTATATCTCGCAATTCTGACTTCATATCTCGCAATTCTGACTTCATATCTCGCAATTCTGACTTCATATCTTGCAATTCTGACTTTATATCTCGCAATTCTGACTTTATATCTCGCAATTGTGAGAAAAAAAGTCAGAATTGTGAGATAAAAAGTCGCAATTATTTACTTTATTTTTTTATTCAGTGGCGGAAACAAGCTTCCATAGTCGTCACACAGAGCACTTTCTAAAAAAAATCCACTTTAATATGATAGCCATGATAGTGCTATAGACTCAGCTCAAAAACAAAAGCACACAGCGAATTTGAGAAGGAAGCGCTCAGCGTTATTAATGTAGAGAACGAACTGATGTGTTTTTCCGTCAGACTCGAGGGAACACTACTTTGTCATGGTTTATTGCTTTTAGACGGCGCCATACAGCTGTTTAGGTACAAGAGCTCAAGTGAAGCGCTAACGTCGCTGTTTTACGGTTACTCTTTGGGGGTTAGCTAGCTTTTACTGTATTTTATTTAAATTCACTAATTGGTGCTTACTTACTGATTACTGCAAACACGACACTCCCTACTGAGAACCAACAGAAGTTGATCTACAGATAATTACCTAGCGTGAGACGACAGACACTCGTGCGACATTGGTTTGTTTAAGCCTAAACCAGTACCTTTTGAAAACCACAAAGAGCCCAAATTATTTAAAAGCATGCTTGTGTCACCTCCATGCTTTCTCACCCTGCTTTTACTTTAAATGCCCTTTTACAGAGTCTTGATGTAGTTTCAGGCTCTACAAGAATTGATTATTCTCCTCATATTCTCCATTGTTGCGGCTCCTCTCTTCCCAGTCTGTCAGTAACGCTCTGTTTACTTCCTGTCTCCTCCTTCTGAAAGCACACTGTGCTCTGATTGGTCGGCTGGATCAGTGTGCTGTGATTGGTCGAGCGCTTCGAGTGTGTTTGGGAAAGCCCCGCCCCTTTCCAGTTTAACTCACTACTAACTAACTCAACCAGGCCCCGCCCCTTTATTCTGCGCATGAATTATTATAATGAGGAATATTGTGACGTGTTCGTTCCCGGGAGAAACTCCAGACTACAATGGAGGCGTTTCAGTGACACTCATATAGAGAAGAACTGTGAGTTTTTAATGCTCAAACAGCGACATTACACACTAGAAAAAACGAACAAAAAGAATAATAGGTCATCTTTAACTAGTTCTCAACAACTTATTAATTATTGAATAGGTTTGACACCTCATTATGATGTATGAGTTGAGTTCAGTCTACTATGTTTTTTACAGTAAAGCTCTGACAAGCTGCCTTTCTGTGCTGTAAATTTCACTTTTTTATGTAGAGTGTAGCTATTATTAATCAGCGTGAGGAAACTTGTGTTTTAAATCAACATAACCTGACGGATGCTCCAAATTAAAGCTCGGTACAGCTGAGGAAACCTGAAGAGGAACTCTGTGACCAATCACTGGAGGACCGAGAGCGGAAGCGCTCGCTCGTGTAAAGGGGATTTATGCAAACCTTCAGAGGGATTCAGTCTGGATCAGAGAGTTGTGGAGACGTACTCAAACCGAACGGCTCGTCTTCTGATGGAAGAAGCCCGATCTGAGAACAGAGAGGTCACAGCACACAAGCACTTTAATCTCACGTACGTCTCGGTTTAAAAAGACACATTCTAGAATTTATTTTGGGATTATAATATTAGTAAAGACTTCTAGCACCAAATTATGCAGATACCAACATCCTCATGTACCTCATGCAAATACTCAAAATGTTTATTTATTGGCCACATTAAAGGGAGACTCCACTTTTTTCAGTAGCACCTCATTGCAGTACACGAGATTCCAGGGGGCGGAGTCGGATCTGAGGGGTGGAGTTGGGTAGGTTTAGGGGTGGGGTTAGGGATCAGAGGGTGGAGCTGGGTAGGTTTAGGGGTGGGGTTAGGGATCAGGGGGTGGAGCTGGGTAGGTTTAGGGGTGGGGTTAGGGATCAGGGGGTGGAGCTGGGTAGGTTTAGGGGTGGGGTCAGGAATCAGGAGGTGGAGCTAGGTAGGTTTAGGGGTGGGGTTAGGGATCAGGGGGTGGAGCTGGGTAGGTTTAGGGGTGGGGTTAGGCATCAGGGGGTGGAGTTGGGTAGGTTTAGGGGTGGGGTCAGGAATCAGGAGGTGGAGCTGGGTAGGTTTAGGGGTGGGGTTAGGGATCAGGGGGTGGAGCTGGGTAGGTTTAGGGGTGGGGTTAGGGATCAGGGGGTGGAGCTGGGTAGGTTTAGGGGTGGGGTTAGGGATCAGGGGGTGGAGCTGGGTAGGTTTAGGGGTGGGGTTAGGGATCAGGAGGTGGAGCTGGGTAGGTTTAGGGGTGGGGTTAGGGATCAGGGGGTGGAGTTGGGTAGGTTTAGGGGTGGGGTTAGGGATCAGGGGGTGGAGCTGGGTAGGTTTAGGGGTGGGGTTAGGGATCAGGGGGTGGAGCTGGGTTGGTTTAGGGGTGGGGTTAGGGATCAGGGGGTGGAGCTGGGTAGGTTTAGGGGTGGGGTTAGGGATCAGGGGGTGGAGCTGGGTAGGTTTAGGGGTGGGGTTAGGGATCAGGGGGTGGAGCTGGGTAGGTTTAGGGGTGGGGTTAGGGATCAGGGGGTGGAGCTGGGTAGGTTTAGGGATGGCGTTAGGGATCAGGGGGTGGAGCTGGGTAGGTTTAGGGGTGGGTATAGTATACTATATTATCTAATATATATTATATATTATATAATATTATATAGTATATAATATTTTTATAGTATACTATAGCGTATACTATAGTATTCTCCCTAGTTAAATACAGTACATGTTGTTTAAATGTGCAAATTACACATTAATAATTAAGCAGCATTTTATAGAAATCTGAACAGTGGATTAAACCAGGCTCAAAATTCGTATGGTTTTTTTGACGTTTTAGAGTTAACGGTTTTTACAGTGGATTTCTCCTTTTTATCACTCCATATATCAGAAAATACAGCCTGAAAAAAAAAAACACATAAATCATGCAAATGATATATATTTAGGAAAAAAACTGTTTGGTGTGGTGTGTGTGTGCAAGTGCTACTAAATATGCAAATACATAAAGTAAATATAACTTGAATGTTTATTTTGGATGTTTTCCTTTTACTAGTCGGACTTAATTGGGTTAGAAGAATTATGGAAGTAAAATGAAGAAGAAAAAAAGGTTTTACCTGCAGTGTCTTGCCTTAAAACAAAAGGCAAACATCCAAGACCAGTTTACACAGGGAACAAAGATATAAAATAGAAATATGAATGCCATCATGCCAATTAAAGCAACAGATACCCGCATGCTCGGCAGAAACATCAGCTTATTAAGCGTGTAGAGAGATAAATCTTACCAGCGCTGCTCTTGACAGAAAATCTCTGGCATCCAGCCGCTCTCTCTTCTCCGTCTTTATTAACATCTTCTCCGAGTCGACCCCATCACTTAAACCCGGCGGTGTGTTTGCTTTGCACCGGGGCCTGATTGATCACATTGGTATTTTAGCCCCACTTTACCTCTCTTGCATCTAGATGGGAAGACTGGCCGTGAGACCGGCCGAAATTAATCACCCCGGAGGCCTAATCAAGGATTAAAGCTAGAAGTTCATACTCTCGGTGGGGAAATTCATCACACACATACATAATGTTACACAAATGAAGGCATTTTGTTGCTATTTTTCTTCCATTTGTCCCCTGATTGTTATTTCAGCATTTCACGGAAGACTTAAATAATGCTAAATGCAATCCAGATTTAGTTGTCTTGTTTCACACATCGAAAAAAAAAAAAAAATCATTAAAATGAACAAGAAAACCCATTTGCAATCTGTAATGTGACACATTTCACCTGGAGAGAGCAGCTTTCCTTTAGCATTCATTCATCTCAATAGCAGTGCATTGCTTTTCCCTGCCGAAATATTAACAATAGGCATCTAAAAGAGTATAAAATTGTAGTCTCAGACTTGTGGACGCCACTATAAGACGAAGGGATGTAAATTCCTGTGAACTTTCATAGTTTTTCTTTCTTAAAGTGTAAATTGTGGTCATGATGTTCTTGTTTTGCGACACGTTGTTGACTTTAAGTGAGCAGTTAAAGCTGCAAAGGTCAATGCCGTTCCTTAGTCATTTATAATTTATTACACCCTCAAAGAAAGTTTCGATGGATAGCTCGCAGGCTATTTCATTTCTTTCTATAGGTGATAAAATATATGCGTCCAAATACATAAAATTAACAATGAATTTAAACTAAATCCATAAAATAATCCAGTGATGGAACCACTAAAAGGACCGATACATGAAAACTGTTATAATGTGGGTTTTGTGTCTTGTTATTTTGTTATCAGTTGTTCCCTGTCTATTAATTATCCCAGGTGTTTATTATTTCTCACGCCCCCCTCGTTATCTGGTTTAGCTTGTTTGTCCCTCATTATTTAAGCCCTGTGTTTCTACCCTGTCTTTGTGAGTTCTTGTTTTATGTGAACTGTTAACGGCGGTGTTGGTTGTTCATGCTCCTGAGTCCAGTATGTTGTCTAGTTTGTAAATAAAGCGTGTGCTGCACATGGATCCACAGCCTTATCCTTCTTGCAACAGCACTAGCAGCGTAACAAAAACTAGTTTAAAAAAGAATATTAATTATGATTTGTTGGCTATCTGAGAGTGATCTGCCTTCTATACTGTAAAAAAAATTGTTGGTTTAACTTAAAAAAGTAAGTAACCTGGTTGCCTTAAAATTTTAAGTTCATTGAACTGGAAAAAGTGAGTTAATACAATGAAGGGGATTAATTTAATCATCAGAAACTCAAAATTATATGTTATCTGAACTAAATAAATTATTTAAGTTGATTTGACAAAAGAAAAAAATGTTGTGATTACTACACTGTAAAAAAAATATTGTTGGTTTAACTTAAAAAAGTGAGTAACCTGGTTGCCATAAAATTGTAAGTTGATTGAACTGGAAAAAGTGAGTTAATACAATGAAGGGGATTAATTTAATCATCAGAAACTCAAAATAATAAGTTCTCAACTAAATAAATTATTATAAAGGTGATTTGACAAAATAAAAAATGTTGTGATAACAAATCTTGAAAATATTTTTTTACAGTGTAAAGTATAGCATAATAACTCAAATGAACTGATTTGAAATGCTGTGAAATACAAATATCACATATTTCACACTCAATTTATTTCAACAAAGTTATAACTATAAAAATCAAATAAAATAATAGAAAAATAAACATCAAATAAAATAATAAAAAAATAAATAAAATGAACACTCGCTAAGCACCAAATCAGAGTAAAAATCAGTGTTGAAACCAATTTTATTTTTGGGGGTCCCGTCTTTAAATGAGGGGGCAACATTATTTATATATACTGTATATCAAGTTGATCTTTCCGTGCTTTTTAAAAAAAGTGTAATATTGTAGTTTGAGCGCTTGCCATTGTCACGGCATATTAACTCTCACGCAAAGATGAAGATGACAGCGTACGCTACGCGAAACACGTTATATAAACAAATCAAGTTTGAAAATAAGCTGCATTTTACCGCGCAGCATTTTGATTGGTCAATCTATCAATCCTAATAAAACAACCTTTTTTTTTTTTTTAAGCAATCAGAAATCTGAGGGGACCGGACATGTAAATGAGGGGGCCTAGGCCCACCCAGGCCCCCTCGTGGCTACGCCACTGGTTGAAACCGGTGTCAGTCGCCAGTTGGTCGATAACATTTTTATGAATTCTTCTGAAAATGCAATGTTGTGAGAACATGAATCTGAAGAAACACGAACGACGCTCGGGACGATTGACGGAAATGTCATGAAAGGTTAAGTCTCGCCAATTTGATTATTTAAAGAGCAAGACGACGCAAAAAGAGAACTCAATTCGCGCTGAGAAGTTTAGTGTGCAAACACAGAAAGAAGCAAGTAAATCCTGAAATGAGCCCTTTTCACGTCATCTTGCACTAAGACACATCCACACAAAATGATGTCAAAAAATGCCTGTCTCTGAGAGTATCTTAGTAAACAGTTGTTTCTGACTTTAAGGATTAGTTCACCTCAAAATGAAAATTTCCTGATAAATTTACTCGCCCCAGTCCCATCTTTCTTTCTTCAGTGGAAAAGAAAGTGGACTTAATGCAAAACGCAATATGGATATTGTTGTCTGGCCATCTTTAGACACTAAAAAGTAATTTAGTAAACAGTTTTTAAGGAGGCCATATTGTTTTCAGGCTCTACTAGAATAGATTATTCTCCTCATATTCTCCATTGTTGCGGCTCCTCTCTTCCCAGTCTGTCAGTAACGCTCTGTTTACTTCCTGTCTCCTCCTTCTGAAAGCACACTGTGCTCTGATTGGTCGGCTGGATCAGTGTGTTGTGATTGGTCGCGCGCTTTGAGTGTGTTTAGGAAAGCCCCGCCCCTTCCCAAAACCTCCAATTTAACACACTACTAACTAACTCAACCAGGCCCCGCCCCTTTATTCTGCGCATGAATTATTATAATGAGGAATATTGTGACGTGTTCGTTCCCGGGAGAAACTCCAGACTACAATGGAGGCGTTTCAGGAGTTCAGAAACACTGACACTCATATAGAGAAGAACTGGGTCTTTCTTTAATTCTCAACAACTCATGAATTATTCAATAGGCTTGAGATTTTATAATAAGATGTGTAGGAGTGTTTTGTAAAGTGAACGTATGTGCTGTCCGTAAGGAGCCCAAGTGTATAATCCAAAAACCATCTCCATGAAAAATGCTTTATCTAAAGATATTAATCTTCTGTTAGTGCACATTTATACCAAATGTATAATATATTGCCAAGCTTAAAACATATAAGTCAATTTAATTAGTAAACAGGGTCAAGTAAGTTCACATTTCCCTAGAGGAAGATGAAGTGCTCCATCTTCAGCGAGAGAGAGAGAGAGAGAGAGAGAGAGAGAGAGAGAGAGAGAGAGAGAGACTATATCAGGTTGCACGAGTCTTGCTTTTCGCCGCGAGCGATGGAGAGTAAACTCGACGTTGACTTTCACTGTTTGACTGTGTAATGTTGTGTAATGTGTCCGTGGGTGAAATATGACTAGAGGGATGGGAATACAAAAAGTCTGAGACCGCACTGAAAATATGAGCTCTTTCATGTAGACCTGGGAATAAACAAAGTTTTGGAAATGTTGAAGCAAAAGTTATGATGAGGTTTTACTCATGTCCGTACAGCAAAACAGATCCCCAGTAGTTTTCCCTCATATAAATCAATGTTGTTATTGGTGGCTAAAAGTAAAAGCCATTTTCTTTATTGACGGAAAGGTGAAATAAAGCATAAATATTAGATGAAAAACTTAAATACGATAAACAACAAACTAAAATATTGCATTGACAACTGAACAAGGTCACTAAAAGGAGTAGTTCACTTTAAAAAACTTTTGCTGATAGTTTACTCACCCCCATGTCATCCAAGATGTCCATGTCTTTCTTTCTTCAGTCGAAAAGAAATATTGGAAATCCAGGATTTTCTCCATATAATGGACTTCAATGGGGACCAAACGGTTCAAGGTCCAAATGAGAGTTTCAGTGCAGCTTCAAAGGGCTTTAAACGACACCAGACGGTGAATAAGGGTCTTATCTAGCAAAATGATCCCTCATTTCAAAAATAAATAACAAAGTTTAAGTTTTATAAGCACAAATGCTCGCCTTGCTCTTATAAAACTTAAACTTTGTTATTTATTTTTGAAATGGCCGCTCGTTTCGCTTGATAAGACCCTTATTCGTCGTCTGGTGTCGTTTAAAGCCCTTTGAAGGTCAAGTTGTGTGCCCGTTTCTATTTGTTTGGTAATATTATTATTTTTTGTTAAAGAGGGGCAGGTTTATATAAGCTAATTGCTTCTGCCTGCTCCTTCTCTAACAAATTTATTTTTATTTATTTATTTTTTTTTTTCGTATTATTATTATTACTATTATTTATATGTACATATTTATTTTTTGGTGGTTGTGTTTTACTTTGTGGTTTTAATTATTGTTTTGTTGTTGTGTATCCATGTTGATTGTTTGAGACAAATAAGAAAGAAAGAAAGAAAGAAAGAAAGAAAGAAAGAAAGAAAGAAAGAAAGAAAGAAAGAAAGAAAGAAAGAAAGAAAGAAAAGCTGCACTGAAACTCTCATTTGGACCTTGAACCGTTTGGACCCCATTGAAGTCCATTATATGGAGAAAATCCTGGAATGTTTATCAAAAACCTTCATTTCTTTTTGACTGAAGAAAGAAAGACATGGACATCTTGGATGACATGGGGGTGAGTAAATTATCAGCAAAAGTTGTTTTTTTTTAAAGTAAACAACTCCTTTAAATAAATCTATAACCATAAAAAAGCATTTTAGTTACATAAAATAAAATGACTGAAATGAGTTTGTGTGTATTTTATTTCAGCTACTTGCCATTGGCAACATTTCTCATTTTCATTTAGTTTAACTTGATGTACTAAAGTAACTTTTACTTTTATATTTGCATGTTTAAAAGTGTTTGCCGATGTCATTTACAGGACGACACACACTACTCATA